TATTTTAATTGACGACAATTAATAATTCTTAAAAAAAACAATTAAACTATTTACTAAATAAAAATTTTATAAATTATAAATGATTACTAATTCTATTATTGTAAAATCGGAAGTGTATTTTAAAAACTTAATTTATGTAATCTCGAAATGAATTAATAAAATCATTAAATAATAGTTTATGTTCTAGGATTTCTTGATGGAAACAAGAAAAGAGAAATAAAATGAAGAGTAAGTAGATGATTTGGAAAGATTGAAATATAGTTAAATAGGAATAAAAAATATAATGTATAAATAAATGAGAGATTTTAATTTATATTTATAAAATGAATAATTCTTAAAAAAGCAAGTCTGTTCGTTCAGGTTCTGCAAGAGTGAGATCTGCGATAGAAAGAGCAGGATTGGTTCAATAAAGAGAGTAATTACGAGAGATGTTAATAAATAAATTTAGTAAAGATTATGCTTAGGGGAACAAAAACAAAGAAGTTCTAATATAATAAATAGTTAATGAATATTTTACAAATGAGCAAGTAATTGTTGGTAATAAAATTAGGTTACAGAAACATCATTAAAGTAATTGAAAGCAAGAGTAATTGAGGCTGTATAAAAATAAAAAGGGCAAAGTTAAACATAGCATGTAACCCAGAATAATAATAATTGTCAAATAGATACTAAAAGTGAATAGAGATCATAAATTTGCAGACCATAATCAGTGAGAAATTCAACAAAATCAGAAGTTGATTAAGATTAATATTCTGTAACGTCTTCTTAATTTGAAAAATAACCAAAATCTGTATATGTTGTAGATGAAGAGGATGAATGGGCTGCATTAGTAAAATTTGATACAGAACTTTATTCTAAAGAGTAATAGCTTGAGTAACAGAGATAGGCAGAGTTTAAGAAAAAGATGAAAGTAGAATTAGATAGACAGTTAGATGAAAAGAAAAGAAGGATGGAGATGGAAAAGAGATAAGAGGAAGCATATGTGAAATTAAGAGATTATTAAATGAATGTTTATGATTAAAGGGAAGAACAAAAGAGGAGAGAAGTTGCATAAAAATAATAAATGGAAAAAGAATAAAGAGATAGATAGGTGAGAGAAGAAGAGAAGAGAAAGTTTTTGGAGAAAAAGAAATAATAAGAATTAGATGCAATTTTAGTATAGAGGATATAAGAGGAATTAAAATAGGAACAGAGAGAAGCTTTATAAAAGAAAGATATGGAGAAGAGAAAGTTTATAGAAATGATGGATGAAAATGAAAAAAATAGATAGAAATAAGTGTAGGATGAAAAAACAGATAAATAATTAGAAGTTGATATGCAAAGGAAATATATATAGTTATAATAAAAGTTAGAAGAGGAGAGAGAAATGGAGAAGAAGGAAAGAGAGGATAAGATAAAAAAGATAATGAGTGATTTTTCATAGACAGTAGTAAAGAATTAAAAAGATTAAATAAAGTATAAGTAGAAGTAAATATAGGGCGGAAGATGATAAGATGATGAAAGCAATATTGATGTAAAATGAACTTGAGTAATAGGATGAGGAGATGAAAAAAAGATAAATAAAATCATAGTAGTAGGATATGAGAAAATACTTAATAAAGTAGATGGAAGATAAAAAGTATGGATATTATGATAAATTTAGATAGAAATAAAAAGAGGAAGAAGAATTAAATAAGAAATAAGCTTAGGTTTGGTAATAAGATTTATAGATATTCTAATAACATGAAAAATCTAAATATGATTATATAAAGGATGTAAATGTGAAACATTAAGAGATTTTAAAGTTATAAATGGATGAGAAAAAATCATAATAAAGACCTAGGAATAAGATGAATAATGAAGAATTGATGCATAATAAACCTTTACTTAAGGAATTGGCAGATAAATAAGATAATATAAAGGTGAGGAAAATTAATATAGGATGAGAAAATGATATTGATATAGATATTAAATTAAGTATTTAATTTAAATATGATCACAAATCTATAAATTAAATTATTAATAAATGACACATAGTTATGGTTTGAAAAAGGGTACAAGAAGTAAATTTGCAAAGCCTTTTAGAGGACATGGAAATATTTCAATTCGTAAAACCCTTTAAACTTTTAGAAGAGGTAAGAATATCAAAGAATAAAATAAAAGGTGATTTTGTAGATATATTGGTTGATGGTGCTTAACATAAGGGAGTTCCATTTTAATATTATCATGGTAGAACTGCAAGAGTATTTAATGTAAATCCAAGAGGAATTGGTGTCTCTTTATAAAGAAGAGTGAGAGGAAGATATGTAGAAAAGCGTTTCCATGTTAGAGCAGATCATTTAAGACCATCAAAATGCAGATAAGAATTTGTTAAGAGAGTTTAAGAGAATGATAAAAAGAAAACAGAAGCAAAGAAAAATAAATAAGTCATTTCAACTAAACGATAACCAGTATAACCAAGATAAGCTATTGTTGTTATTCCTAAATAAACAACATTCCAACATCCTAAAGCATTTGTAGAAATTATTTGATAAATCATAATAAATCAGTATATTAAAATGAATAAAAATAGAATAATTCTATAATTCGACATTATGTAATTAATGCTTATTTTTATTTGATATATTATCACAATCATTTTTCTTATTATTATTAAGGTCCATCAAAATCATCTTCGTCTTCTTTTCTTCTATAATAATAGGTTTCTAAATTTTTTTTATTAATCTAGATTAAATAGAAAGTTAAAATACTTTTTTTAATTTTTCAGGAGGGAAGATTCTTAATAATCTCCAAGCTAAATCTAATGATTTAAAAATAGATCTAACTTCGTATGCTCCTTGACTAATGAAATTATTCTCAAATTTCTTTAAGAATTCTAAATATAATAAATCTTCAGCAGATAATGCTTCTTCTCCTACAACTGCTTTCATAGCTGCAGTATCTTTACCAATAGCATAATTAGCATATAACTATACGTTATTATTAATAATTAAATACTTGATTTGAAACTTCAGGATGATCTTCTCTAGTCATTCCTTTACCAATAGCTGATTTCATCAATCTTGATAAAGATGGTAAAACATTAATAGGTGGATAAACTTATTTATTATTTAATTATCTATCAATAAATATTTATCCTTCAGTAATATAACCTGTAAGATCTGGAATAGGATGTGTAATATCATCATTAGGCATTGTTAAAATTGGAATTTATGTAATTGATCCATTTTTACCTTAAACTCTACCTGCTCTTTCATAAATAGTTGAAAGATCTGTATATAAATAACCTGGAAAAGAACGTCTTCCTGGTACTTCTTCTCTAGCTGCAGATACTTCTCTTAATGAATCTGCATAAGCTGACATATCTGTTAAAATGACTAAAACATGTAATTCTTTTTCATATGCTAAATATTCTGCTGTTGTTAATGCTAATCTTGGTGTAATAATTCTTTCTATTGTTGGATCATTAGCTAAATTCATAAACAATACGACTCTTTCCATTGATCCATTTTATTCAAAATCTGTTTAGAAAAATCTTGCTGTTTCCATATTAACACCCATAGCACCAAATACTACTGCAAAATTTTCATCTGAATGATCAAGTACATCCTTTCCTTTTACTAATGAAGCTTAACGTACTATTTAACTTATAATTTATTTATTTAATTATACGCTCCTATTTCATTATGTGGTAAACCATTGGCAGAAAATAAAGGAATCTTTTATCCTCTAGCAATTGAATTCATACAATCTATAGCTGAAATACCTGTTTGAATCATTTCTTATGGATAAACTCTTGAAAATGGATTAATTGGTTATCCTTGAATATCTAAAAATTCTTCTGCCAATACAGGAGGACCTTTATCAATTGGAACTCCTGATCCATTAAATGCTCTTCCAAGCATCTCTTCTGATATTGGCATCTATAATGTTGAACCTGTAAATTCACAATGGGTATACAAATTATCTATTCCTGATGTTCCTTCAAAGATTTATACTACAGCTTTCTTTCCTGCTATTTCCAAAACTTAACTAAAATTATTATCATTATAATTACCCCTTTCTCACTGAACCATCACCTAAACATACATTTACTATTTCTGCGTATCTTGGGAATTTCACATTGTCCAAAATAACCAATGGACCATCTACCTTCACAACTGTTCTATAATCAACTCTTGGTGTCACATTATAATTTCTAGAAGCTGCTGCTGCATTTAATCTAGCAGCTGCCACTTTCGCTATGTCATGGGCCTTATGATGATGACTCATAATATAAAATAAAGATATTTATGGTTTTTAAGAATTTATAAACTTCTATTAATATTTCTATTCATTCATTCATTCTTATTCTCCTTATCTTTACTTTTCATAGACACTCAAACTTACTAATAACTAACTCTATTTCGTTTTAACTATTAATTATTTATTCAAATTTCTCATTCATTCAATTTTTTTTATATTATTAATCTCCTCTTTAACTAAAAATTATACTCAAACTTTTATTCTAAATTATTAATAGAGTTTTCAAAAATTGTTGTATAATGTAAAAAGGCCTCCTGCTATTGATTTTTTATTTTTTACATTTATATTCATAATTCTATATGAAAATTCTTTAGCTAACAATATTTATGATTTAAAAAAAAAATGTTAAATTTTATGATTAAAAGATTTTTCATTATAAAGTAGAAGATGTCTATAAAAACACCTTTTTATTTTAGTTTATTTATTTGTAGAACACATTATAATTTATTCAAATATATTTATAAAATAATTGATATAAATTTTATTCAGTTTAAAAGTGACTCTATTTTTATTTTGTCAACTTCAGTTAATGCAGAAATATATTCTGATATTCTAGCATGAGTTGGAGATCCTTCTATCCTTTTTTCAAGCGTATCAATCTTTGTTTTCATTTGAATGTTTTCCTTACTCAAAACAGAATTTTCGTTTACAAGTTTTTTCTAACTTAAGTTAATAATTACATTTTAATCTTTAAGAATTTTAATGGTTCTTTACAATTAAAGTATTTCTAAATCCCTATCAAGTAATTATTTCTACATTTGCAGATATGATTATTTTGCAAAATTTTCTTTAAGCTAATTGAAAAATAAAAGTACTTTTAATTAGTTGTTTCTCTTCATCAACACTTTCAGCAGCAGTAGTTTTTGTGCAACTTAATTTATCATTCTTTAAATCTACAAAAGAACTCATCTATTAATTTTATGAGTCATCTTGCTTCATTGTAGAATTAAACTTAGATTCTTCATTTTGCTTAAAAATAGAGATATCAACTACTTATGTAAGCATTCTTAATTTAATATCTGAATATGGAGTTCTTAAACAAAAAGTAGAACCACTCATTGGTTACCTTTTTGGGAGAGCAGGAGCTCTTATTATAGTTACAGGAGAGTTCTTTCTAGTTTCAAAATGCTTTTACAATAAGGAAGTTGACTATCTATGGTATATATTCTAAGATGAAATAGACTTCTGTTTACTTAAGTGAGTGGTAACATTTATTAAACAAGAAAATTAATTAAATTAAATATCAACAATCTACTTTGACTTTAGAGATTAAATTTAGTTATCAATTTCAAATCTCTTGTATTTATACCAAATTTTTGTGGTTTAACCAATTTTTATGGTGTAGGATTTTCATAGTTATTTTTATTATTTTTTTATACCTCTATATTAATTAAATGGATTATTCATTTTATTCATTCATTTTGATATGAATTCTTAATGTACAAATTATTTTTTTACTTTATTTTGAATTAAGGTATTATTATATCAGCGGTTTTATAAATTAAACTTTATAATAATAAATTTAAGAAAATCTAAAACTCTATTTTCTTAAAAATGAGTACTTGGCATTAAGTAGGTTATTTGGTTAAAAAAAACTTATTAATCAGCTTTAGAAATAAAGAGTTCTTAGTTGAATCAATTTTACCGATTGTTGTTGCTGCTATGCTTTCATTGAAAGGTATATAAGAAAATGATAAAATTAGCTTAAATATAAGCTATTTAGCAATTAATGCCTTTACTTTATTGTATTGCATTGACATCAACACAAAGATCAATGCTAATTAAGATGGTAGAAGAGAAAAGCAAAAGGTATAAAGAATTACAAAAAGTACATAAATCAATATTGATTAGATTATGGGTATGAATAATAATGCATATTTAATTGGTTGGGTAATAACTGGTTATATAAGAATTGGAATAGTATAATAATGATTAATTCTAGTCTTTATTAATTTTTGAGGTTTGCTGGTATGTCTGTAATATGATATTTAAAATTGATTGGGACGAAGAATTTCATGTTTCATTTTTAAACATGTTGTGGCCTTACATTTTATTTGCCTTTGCTGTATTTTAAGAATATTAATATAATAGGCAATGAATTAAAATTTTTTATTATCAAGTTTATTTAATGAAGTTAAAATTGCAGGAGAAATGTAATCATTTATTTAAATTGCTTTTACTTTCAATATTTATTTTTCTTTTGTTGATAATGTGGCAAATAAGATGTTTTTCTATATTATATCAACACTAATAAGTCCATAATGTGGAATAGCTTTTTCATATATTTCATCAATGAATAGTGAAAGTGGAAATGATTTAACAAAATTAAATTTATTCCCTACATAAATCATAAGTGATACATATTCAGCATAGATAGCTGGATTACAATTAGGAGTATAATTAATAATATATTTTTTAATGTTTTTATATTGTGAGTAAGTTGTTCCAAATGAATATGGAATAGCCAAACATCCTTTATTTATTTTTGGAGTTCAATAAAAAAATAAAGTTAAAGTAAGTTAACTAGAAAATGAAGCTATGATTGCAATTAATAATAGCAGCACTCCATTAAGTTCTGCAATGTATACAGAAGATATAAAAATGAATAAATAACCAAGTATAATAATTTAAAACTTATTAAAAAAATTTGGAGAGTTAAATGCAGTAAATAATTTGAGTCTTTCATTGTATGAATCATAAATTTTTTGTTTGCTTGGACATAATGGAGCAGGTAAAACAACTGCAATTAATTTATTAACAGGAATGATTTAAAAATCATCAGGGTAAGTCATTATGTATGGAATGAATTTAGATACTTAATTACCTGAAATTAGATAATCATTAGGATTATGTACTTAAAAGGATTGTTTATATAATGATTTGACAGTGAAAGAGCATTTAGAATATATAAGTGGAATTAAAGGGAGAATAAACAAAGAGGAAATGATTCTAATAATGAAGAAAACTGAATTATTAGATGAATAAAATAAATAAGTACAAGAACTTTCAGGTGGTTCAAAAAGGAAATTATCATTAGCAATGAGTTTAGTAGGGGATTCTAAAATAATATTTTTAGATGAACCTACATCAGGAATGGATGCATATACAAGAAGATCAATATGGAATATATTAGAAAGAATAAGAGAAGATTAAAGAACAATTATATTAACAACTCATCATCTTGATGAAGCAGAAGTACTTGCTAATAGAATTGGAATTATGTCTAAAGGTTAATTATTAGCAGTAGGTTCTTCAGATTATATAAAAAGAAAATTTGGTGAAGGTTATAATTTAAAATTATCCTTTAATGATGTAAATTTAAGAAATTAAATATAAGAATAAGTTTATAAAATGATTCCTAATAGTTTCTTAGAATCTTAACATTCTAATGATAATAAACTTGTATTTAATATTCCATTCTCTTCAAAAGAAAAATTAGGTGATTTATTTTATAATTTGGAATCTTTAAATATAAAAATAGGATTAGAAATGAAAACTTTAGAGGATGCATTTGTAAAAATTGGACTTGAAGATGAAAAAAGCCATTTAAATGATGTTAGAAAAAGTGAAATAAAAATAGCAAAATAAAGTATGGGTATTCCAGATAATTATGAAGAAGAAGAGGAATTTTAAAAAGAATATTAAGATATAATTGAATAAGATTAAAATACTGATATAAATAATGAAGTTAAAGTATTTATTGAGTAAAAAAAGTCACTAATTTTAAATGTTCCAGAATGTTTAAAGAATGAACCTACTTATAAAATCTCTTCACAAATGTTAGCAATATTCTTAAGAAGATATTATACAGTAATAAGAACAAGTACTAATTATTTTTCTATTGTCATCCCTATGTTAACTTTTATATTAGGAATGTCTACAGTTGCTGGAGTTGATTTTGATTCATTATTACACAGAGTATTTCCTGAAATGGACATTAAAAATTTAAAAGAAGCTGTTGATTTTTTCAAAATCTCATTACTTGCTAGTTGTAGCGTTTTAGCATTTTGTTTTAATGCCACAGTCTATATAACATAACCAGTATTAGAAAAAGAAACTTATTTAAAATAAGCATTAGTTGGTATGGGATGTAGATCATTCCCTTATTGGTTTGGTACATTAATCTTTGATTATTTGATATATATCTGTTTTGTTGCCTTCTTTTATATCATTTCAGCTATATTCAAATTAGATATTGCTTTTAAATATTGGCAAACAGGATTATCATGTTATATTCTCTTTGGTTTCAGTTACATTCTATTTGCTTATTTAATGGGATTCTTATTCAAATCACTTGAAAATGCCTTAAAATTATATTCTATGTTCTGTTTCTTTGCAAACTTTTGTGTACCATTTATTGTTATTGCTTTTATAGACTTCTTTTATCAAAAATTCAATAATGAAGTAGCAAAAATATTAATATACATATTTTAAGTATTATTTGTAGTAGTTTCACCATTTTATGCCTTTTTTGAAGCATGCACATTTTTAGCTGATAATTTTGAATAAATTTATAAATTAGAACTATATAAAGCTCCTTAATTAATTTAAAGAACTTATATATTTTAATTAATATTGTTAGGGTAAATAATTATTTAGGTTTTTATACTTTATTTAATAGAATCAAAAGGTTTCTTAGTTACAAAAAGTAGTTAGAATGATAATTATGTTATCAATTAATTAGAATAAGAAATTATTGATGAAAAAATAAGAATTGAAAAATCTTAGGAATATGATCCAATAGTTTGTAAAAATTTAGAAAAAGAATATATTAAAGATAAACCAACATTATAATAATTAACTTTTGGAGTAAAGAAAGGAGAAATATTTGGTATAATTGGTCCTAATGGAGCAGGAAAATCTACACTTATTAATATTTTTACTGGAATAAACTCTCCTTCAAAAGGTCTTGCATTAATTAAAGGAGTTGAACCTAATTAAAGAAATTAATAAGTTATGTAACATGTAGGAATTTGTCCATAATTTGATTGTATTTGGGAAAATTTAACACCAATAGAACATTTATAACTATTTGGAAGAATAAAAGGATTATAAGGTAAAGATTTATAAGAGGCTGTTAAATATTTTATTAAAACAATGTAATTAGATTTATTTGTCAATACAAAAGCAGGATAATTAAGTGGAGGAAATAAGAGAAAACTTTGTGTTGCGGATGCCTTAATAGGAGGTAGTGATATTACTTTTTTTGATGAACCAAGTACAGGGGTTGATCCAATTTCTAGAAGATTTCTTTTTAATACTCTTTAAAGAAATATTTAACTTAGAAATTGTTCAGCTATTATGACTACTCATACAATTGAAGAGGCTGAAAGTTTAAGTCATCGATTGGGAATTCTTATAGCTGGATAATTTAAATGTTTAGGATCTCCATAGTATCTAAGATAGTATTATATTATTTTTAAATTTAGAAAATATAGTAAAGGATATTAAATAGAAATTAAATATAATATTTAAAATTGTGATTAGACATAAGAAATAGCTGAAATTGTTGTTAAAATGTTTCCAAAATCATCATAAATAGAAGATAAAAGATCCGGATTTATGACTTTTTAGTTTTAAGATGAAGATTTTAGTTTTTTTAAAACATTTTAATATTTTCAAAAACTCATAAATGAAAAAGTAATTGAAGATTTTTAAATTAACGAAAAGTATATATATAATTTATAATTAATTAGTTCACTTGAACATATCTTTATACATTTGAGTAGAATTTAATAGGAGATTAATGAAAGAGAAGGTTTAGTATTTGATTGAAAATTATATTATTTGTAGTGTAATTATAAATATAATAATTTGAATAAAAAAGAAAAAATGAATTAAAAAAATTCATAGACATCATTTAAGTAATTTTTTGATTTAGTCTCTTAATATTTCTGGGCTTAACAATAATTATTATTATTGTAATTTCTAATTTTTTTTGATTTACTCAATCAAGGATTAAGATAATTATAATGATTTAGTTTGTATATTGAAAATTATAATTTAATTATAATTAAGTAACAAAAGCAACATAACAGATAACTACGTTAAAAAATTATCTTAAGGATTATTATTTAGATAATTAACAAGTGAATTAATAATCGATTTTAATTCTTTAGCATCTTATGGTGTATAAAGCTGTTCTCTAACATTATTAATAGTAATTTTATGTTGATTTAATAAGGATTCAATATCTTATTTAATTGTTATATGATTAGGAATGAGGTCAAATTAAATTTGAATAATTTTAAGTAATACAAGAATAGAATTTTTTTATTAACTAATAGGTGATAAAGTATTATCTTAAAAATGATTACTGAATGTTCTTTTTAACCTTAAATTTGAGTTTGTATTAAAATAACCATTAGCTATTATTTGATTAAGTGGTTCTCTGGCTTTTTCATCAATTTAAAATTCATTAACTTTGACAATATTAGATATATTTTCTTAATCATGAATATATCTATTAGATGTATTTGTTGAATTAGATTACAAGTTGCTTGGAGTTCTAAAAGAATCATTATTATTATTAGTAGAATATTTTTTATTAGGAAGTGGAGGAGTGTGTGCATTTTCTAAGAATTTGATAAGTTCTATTTTTTAAGTAGTGAATTTGAGAAAGGAATTATTTCTATCTCTTTCAGATTCTTATGTATAAGCAGTAATATTTCTTTGAGGAGTAATTTTACGATTATCAGGTTAGAGATAAGAGATTTTAGCTTTTGTATAAAATTTAGGTTTTTATTGCCTATCACTAGATTTATCTAAATCATGAGTTGGAGTTGCATTACTCATACTTCTATTATGTCTACTTACAAAATGATAAGTTCCCATACTTTCAGTTCTCTATTTAACTCTTTAATGAGGTTTGATTTCTATAAAACTAAGATTTTATTTTATTTAGGTTGATTCTTATTATTAACTTTGATATTATTATTATTATTATTGAGTATTTTTTTAAATAACTGGTAAAATTTAATGATTAATTTCAGGTAGATTAGTTTATTCTTGCATTCCAATCAATGAAAAGAGTTCATCCCAAGAAATTCTTTTTTCTTCATTAATTTATAGACATCCTTTAATAATTTTAATAGTCAATTCTGAAACTTTTGGTTGTGATGGAAATTCTAAAGGCTATAGAGAAAATATTATAAAAAATATACTTTAGTATCTAATTTAGCCATTAATTCAACAAGGTTTTAAGAATGCCATGGAGTAATACCATAAATTAATTCATAAAATATTAGACCTAAAGACCAAATATCGCATTTAGATGTGTAAGATTATCTCTTAAGAATTTATGGACTCATATAAAGTGGTGTACCTACTAATGAATTCATCATTGTATCAATATGAGAATCAACTTATTTTGCAAATCCGAAATCTGTAATTTTGAATAAGGTATCTTGAATCATTATATTTGCAGGTTTGATATCTCTATGAATAATTCCTATTTTTAATAATGCTTTGATTCCATGAAGCAAATCCTTTAAAACATTAATTGCATCATTTTCTGGTATTGTCCTAAAATATTAGATTAATTCTTACTTTCTTTTTTTGAGATACTCTCTTAGATCACCACCATTACAAAACTCTGTTATAATGTATGTATTATTCACACTCTATAAAACATCTATTAATCTAACAATATTTTTATCTTCAATCAATTTCATTATCTCTATTTCTGAAGCTATAAGTTAACTTGCATAATCTGTTTGTAATATTTTCTTATCTACTATCTTTAATGCTACAATTTTATCTTTAATTCAATAATATTATAAATTACTATCAACAATGTTTCTACCAGCATAAACAGTACCATAGGCACCTTTACCTAATTTTGCTTTAAAACTAAACTGATAATTCTATATTTTCTTATCTGGAGGGTATTGTAAAAATTACATTTTGAATTTCAAAAATTATTAAATAACAACGAATTGCAATTTGCGCAATTCATTACTCATTTTTTTCAATCATAATCATATTTCAAATATAAATAATCATATTCACCCAAATTATTGTTGAAATAATTTTTCCATAGAATTCTTCTATTATTATTTTAAAACTCAAATCTGGAATCTCTTTAATACCTTTTATACATAATCCATTTGCATTTTCAAAATAACATTCATTTATTCTACCATTGCATTCATCTGCATCTAAGATTTTATTACATTCCTTAACACATAATTCTTTTTTTATATTATTTTAATCTAATTATATACTCCAATAACAACGATCTGAAGCTAAAATACATTGATCTTTTGTCAAAAATTAAGAACATAAAATAGATTTGCATTTTCCATTCTAATAACTACAGATATTTGTTTATTCATTGCAAAAACACTACTCTGTAATTTACTCACATTATTTACAAACTAAATTATTAAATAAAACACAAGAATATCCATTTATCTCATTTCCTTAACAAAGTGTCTATGATGGACCATATATCCTAAAAATAAAATAAATTATTAATACCCACAAACTTTATTTGTACAAATTTAAGTACTATCTAATAATTCATTCTTCTACCAATTGCATTTAAATCCATCTACAGAAGATTTATTACAAATATTAATAACTTATTCCCCATAAAGATTTTAAGTTATTTAACTACATCTTAGTAATTGTTAACAGTAGTTTTCTTAATCTAAATAACATTCACTTTTTTGTTAACATTCTTCAATACTAAGATCTTCACATGTTTTAATTTTACAAGTTCCATAATATAAAATGCAATTAGAATTTGAACAATCAGAATATGGACAATATAATTTATAATTTGTTGCTGTTATACAAAAATTACCAGCTTAAACACAAGACTATGAATTAATAAAGATTGTAGAGCAGGAATCTTTAGGATCAATTATATCTTCACAAACTGTAGCTGGTTAACAACCATTGTGAAGATCTCTATAACATATTTTATTATCTAAAATTTGATTGCATTCATCATCTTTTAGATGATAACATTATTTCTTAATACAAAGATATTAATCTAAATCAAAATAACACTTATTCTAAGCTCTACAATTAACAATACTAGATTATTATTAACAAACCTCTATTTCTTAAATTGTTTTACACTTACAATCTAAATTATCTTGATTCCATTTACAAAGATCTTTGGTTTCACAAACATTCTTACTAATTCCCTCAAAATTACATTAATCTTAAGAAATTGATGAAGTTTGACATCTAAGATTTATTGAATCATATGAACAGTATTAATCTCTAATAGATGCACAAGCTTTAGAATTTACTTGTGTTATAAACATACAATTTTTAGACAATTCAGTAAATAATTAACATTAATTATCTTTAAAAATACAAGGTTCCTGTTTTACTTGAACACAACCCAACAAATTTAATCCTTATGTATTGCATTTCAATTACCAAATATTAAATTGACTTTTACATTTATTATTTTTTGTATCATAAATACATGATACATTATTAACTTTGCTACGGCATGCATTTTCATTAACAATTAATTAAGAGTCACATTCAATAGGATTAATTACTTCTAAACAAGTTGTGCCATTCCAATAAGTTGGTATTTTCTTATTTAACATACAAGCTTATCTAGAAACTCCTAATCCTACTACATCATTCTTAATTTCAATGCAACTTTACTTTTCTTTATTATAAGAACAGGCCATATCTGTAATCATTTAACAAACATATGGTGTTACATCATGAAAATCAGAACATTTACTTTATTTTGTTATAATAAATTCAACACATTAACTTTACCAATGGCATTATTAATTTTAAATTGATAAACATGTTATTTTACTTATCCCATCTGATGAACATGATATAGATTCAATATCTTTCTATATACATGAGTTTTATTCATAAACACTATTTATACTGTGATGTATACAAGTATTTTTATTCACATTTGACATTTTAGAAATATTTGGATTCCAATTTAAGCATTTCTACTCTTGCCAAAAACAAAATTCATTTTCTTTTTTTACATTCAAACATCCCAATTAATTCAGTTTATCAGTACATTTCAAATTATCAAAATCTTTAACCTCTTAGCAAGATGAATCCTTCCAAATACATGATATTTGTGGAATACGTGATTTTGTACATAGGACATCTTTAAGCAATTATTCACACTTACCACTTAATATTGGAGATTAATAATCTGCTTTTTGCAGTCTAATTAATTATGAAATTGTTTTCCAACTAGTAACTGCCAAATCTGAACTTTAATCTGGTAAACATGACTAAGCCTTTTCATCATATAAACAAGGATCTATTGCATTGACTTGGCAAGCAAAAGCATTTATATTTAGTGGAAGATCTTTGCAATATATTTATTCATCTAATTCATTAAAATCAATACATTCATTATTTTACCATTAACAATTTATACCATTACTTTTAAGACATTTAGATTTAGTCAAATATTATGAGCAATTTAAAAAAGGAATAAGAATACATCTATTTGACTACCATATACAATTACTTGTAGACAATCTACAAGCTAATTAATTATAATTTATTGAACAAATTTTAGGAGTAATTTGTAATTTATTACATTATTTCGTTATAGTATCAAAATAACAAGGTTCTGTTGTTACAGCATTACAAGCAGAAACTAAATTTAAATATGATGCAGATTCACATGTATCTACCTCTTTATTAATACAAGATTAATCTTATTGATCCCATTTACAAGCTTATCCAGGTGTTTATATATTTAAACATCCTTATTAGTTAAGTTTATCCGAACAAAGTGCTGTATGTATATTTACATTTTCACAATATCCACCATCATTTATCTAAATCCATTAGCATGAAACACTAGTCTCCAATATACAAGCTTATTGATTTAATCCATATAGATTGCAATTATTTACTTTCAGTTTTATTTCACTACATTGTGTATTATTTTAATGTTTAACACAGCTTTTATTTATTTGTCCACTGCATACACTAATTGAACTAGTATTCACTAAATTATCTAGAGTACAATCAGTATTTGTAATTATAAGGGCATCACATTGTTTTAATGTTTCATTCCAAAAACAATAAATGTTAGATAGACGAACATTTTAGCATGCTCTTTAATTTAAATTTTCACAATTAGTTATTTATTTGTTTTCTATTTCAAGAACACTCTAACATTTATTATTTTACCATTAGCAAGTTAATTCTTAGGTTAGATCACTCAAACAAGCATCTTTGGATAAATTGTTGCAACTCTTTTAAAGTTCATCAATTATTTCATTGCATTTAAAATTAGTAAACTTCCAAGTTCCCGATTAAGTAATACAACCATATTTATTTAATTAGTTTTAAAATCCTTCTGATAAACAATTGGATCCATCAAAATAACAAATATTCTCAATTTAAGAACATTAATTAGCAGTAATTCCTTCACAATTTACAGAGTTGTATTCTTATATTAATTTACATTTTTTATCAATGAATGAATACATACATTATTCTTAATTTAATTAAGCACATGCTGGATAACTAGATTGAAAATTTATAATTTATGAGCATTAATGTATTTGATTATTATCATCTATATTTTTACATGATTAATCCCAATAACAAAAAAGAGAGGAATTCAAATGAGTTAAATCTTCTAGACATAATTCTTTATTTAATTAATTACATGTTAAAGATTCAAAAGTATTATCTGAGTAACAAAATCCTAAACCAATTTTGGTATAACCATGTATACAATTGTTAAATTAATTGCAAGCCATGAATGAATGAAATCCATTTAAAGATGGACAGGATTAGCTATTAAAATCTTTACAATAACCTTAATTCCAAGAACAAGCAAGCGATTTATTTTAAGTTACACATTCCAAATTAGAAAGATTATAACATTACCAATAATTATTAATTTAATTAATATGTTAACATTTCTGATTAGCATAAATGCAATTAGGATATTGAAGACAAAATTTATAATTAGTCTTATCAAAGAAATCACAATCATAATCAGTATATGGATTATGAAAGCACTTGCCATCTTTAAGTACACATTTTAAATTTAAAGAGTCATTTTAACCACAAGTATTAATAGAATCTTCACAAAGGACTGTTTTATAGAATTAACACTAATTTTGTATAAATTAACAATATTGATATGGTATGGATCCACAAGCATATTGATTTAATTTACTGTCACATGAATATAATTCATAATTAGATTATAATAATTCTATTTAACATTATACACCTGTTGAGATTATGAATGTATTACTTGAATCTAGAGAGCAAGTATAATCTCCTCCATATTAGGTAATATTATTAGTAGAAGTAGCACAAAGTTAACCATTCCAATAACATTTTAAAAATGCAAATTAAGAGCAAGAGAATTGATTTAAATATTTACAATCAGAAACATTTAAATATGATGGTAAATATCTACATTTATCATTATAAAAAGCACATCTATGATTTTAAGTGTTTAAGATACATCCCATATAAGATAATCCAGGAGTATGACATTCTAAATTAGTTGATTCTGGTGAAATACAACCATTCTCAGAATTATAAACACATTAATCATTCGCTTTTGAACAATAATTTGGATTAATAATTTTATTAGTAATATTACTATTAATAGTAGAACATGATTTAGTAGTTTCAACTATTTATAAACATTTCATATCTATAATAGTAGAATCAATTGAAACATAATCTACAATTTTACAATATTATCCGTTTGTCTCTACTTTTGTACATGTCTTTAAATTAGCTTATGAACAAGATATGTTATTTAATACAATAATAGCATCCATAGAATTCTCAATTAAAGTTGTGCATTTATTGTTTAAGAATGCACACATTTAAATATATTCTCTTGATTGATTTATTCCTGTTAATCCACCACATCTATGTATATTCATATATTCAGATTCTCCACAATCCTCTATTATTTCTGATTTACTTTTACAACTCTTATCTATATAAGTACAATAATTATCCTACAAAAATTATTTTGTCATATCAGATACAAGTGAAGTGCATACACGTTAAGAATAATTTGCATATTCTGCACAATTTATAAAAAATCCAGAATATTTTTTACATTTATTAAGTTTAATATCCCAATAACAGTTTTAACCATTTTTTATGATTGACAAACAAGTTTATTAATTAATAAAATTTGATTCACATTCCAAAGTTGATAATATATTTATATCTAAAGGACTAAATGTATAACATTTATTCAAATCTAAATCAAAATAAGTTAATGAATCTTATACTAATTAACAACCATAACGATTTAAATTTAGAGAATATGTTAATTTTGTATAGATACTTGGTGTGTAACAAGAATGAATAGATTCATCATATAAACATACTTGAGATGATGATGAATATATTTAACAAACTTATTAGTTTACATTTTAAAGTGAAGCACATTAAATACTATTGATAAAGGATTCAGATAAGGAATTACATTTTCCAGCTATAAATTAACAATATACTCCTATTTTGGATTTATTAACACATAATTCTTTTGAGAAACCATATCCACTGCATTCATAATCTTCAAATTAAGACATTTCTATTTCTTTACAAGAACTAGTATCTGAATCATACATGCATAAGAAATCAGGCTAAGAAACTTTAGATTTTTAACATATTCTTTCATTAACAAGAATTTAATCCAAACAATTAAATTAAGTTACTTGTGTTTCTGAAAAACTTAAACATATTTATTTATAAGAATCCCATTTAAGATATCCAGGTTAGACCATAACACAAGAATAACTATTAATATTGTTTAAATCATTAACGAAATCCCTTTTATCGAATGAGCATTTCCCTAAGCTTGGAAAATATTCTGTTTACATATTTTATTAGTATTTGCAAAAATTTTCATTGCTGATAACACGAATAAACTAATTAATTCCAACATATTCCTTATCTACTAATGCCTTTTGGGATATTAAAATAGGAAATTCCAATATATTTTTACATAACATTAAAAAATAATCCCAGTAACAAATCTAATCACTTAATTTAACTTTCATACAAGATTTTGCACTTAATGCTTAGCTACATTTCAACAAATTAAAATCTTCATCTTTTATTCTATAACATCTTTAAAATTATTAATCCCATCCGCATTAATCATATAATTATTTACAGTACATATTCTGAAGTCCAGGTTAATCACATCCTTATTCTGGTGAACATGACATTACCAAAAAAATGGTTGTTGTTCCCAAAAATTTACACTCTTTCTTTGCTTTACATATTTATTCTTAATTAAAAAATGATATAAAGCAATTTTTACTGCATCTATTAGTAGTTGCATCCAGATAATAATTTGAGAGTTATTAACATTATTTTATTGTACAATCATTAGCTTCACAATCTGCTACATACTCTTTTTCTTGATTCACACAAGGATATTCATATTCAATTCCTTTTAATCTACAAGTATATGTATTTGAAAAATAGTAAATGCNAATGTATAACATTTATTCAAATCTAAATCAAAATAAGTTAATGAATCTTATACTAATTAACAACCATAACGATTTAAATTTAGAGAATATGTTAATTTTGTATAGATACTTGGTGTGTAACAAGAATGAATAGATTCATCATATAAACATACTTGAGATGATGATGAATATATTTAACAAACTTATTAGTTTACATTTTAAAGTGAAGCACATTAAATACTATTGATAAAGGATTCAGATAAGGAATTACATTTTCCAGCTATAAATTAACAATATACTCCTATTTTGGATTTATTAACACATAATTCTTTTGAGAAACCATATCCACTGCATTCATAATCTTCAAATTAAGACATTTCTATTTCTTTACAAGAACTAGTATCTGAATCATACATGCATAAGAAATCAGGCTAAGAAACTTTAGATTTTTAACATATTCTTTCATTAACAAGAATTTAATCCAAACAATTAAATTAAGTTACTTGTGTTTCTGAAAAACTTAAACATATTTATTTATAAGAATCCCATTTAAGATATCCAGGTTAGACCATAACACAAGAATAACTATTAATATTGTTTAAATCATTAACGAAATCCCTTTTATCGAATGAGCATTTCCCTAAGCTTGGAAAATATTCTGTTTACATATTTTATTAGTATTTGCAAAAATTTTCATTGCTGATAACACGAATAAACTAATTAATTCCAACATATTCCTTATCTACTAATGCCTTTTGGGATATTAAAATAGGAAATTCCAATATATTTTTACATAACATTAAAAAATAATCCCAGTAACAAATCTAATCACTTAATTTAACTTTCATACAAGATTTTGCACTTAATGCTTAGCTACATTTCAACAAATTAAAATCTTCATCTTTTATTCTATAACATCTTTAAAATTATTAATCCCATCCGCATTAATCATATAATTATTTACAGTACATATTCTGAAGTCCAGGTTAATCACATCCTTATTCTGGTGAACATGACATTACCAAAAAAATGGTTGTTGTTCCCAAAAATTTACACTCTTTCTTTGCTTTACATATTTATTCTTAATTAAAAAATGATATAAAGCAATTTTTACTGCATCTATTAGTAGTTGCATCCAGATAATAATTTGAGAGTTATTAACATTATTTTATTGTACAATCATTAGCTTCACAATCTGCTACATACTCTTTTTCTTGATTCACACAAGGATATTCATATTCAATTCCTTTTAATCTACAAGTATATGTATTTGAAAAATAGTAAATGCATTATTGATAATCGATAGATTTGCAAGTTAAACCAAATTCATTAATTTTAAATTAGTTATTCAAATCTGAAGTATTATATTATTTGCAAACTCCATCAGAATATATATATTACTTTTTTATTTCAGGATTTCTATTCAAATATTTGCAATAAATATGATTAATCCCTCTTACTTCATCCGTTATTCTAAAAATATTATAAAAATCTTTGTCATTTTCTATTTCTAAAGCTATGCATCCATCTCTATATCTGTAAGACCTTTATACTATAAACTATAAAACTTATGTTACATTTGGTTAGCTTAATTTATTATGACTCTCTAATTGTATACCATGCATAGGTTCCATTGAAAAACTAGTAATTATTTTACATTTAAACTGTATTTGGATTATCATATTAGACGTTATCTTCAACTATTAAACCTATCTCCTTTTTAAAAATATCTTCAGCTTCAGCAATTAAATCAGGTATATATGAAATGAGATCCCATAATAGTGTATTATGAATAACTAAGTAGTTTTCAATCAAATAACAAGCTGATGCACTGTATAATACAGAATCGAAATCTTTTTAAACTTAACTCCATTGATTTTGATATAATACTTAACATTCATCATTTTTCCAAAAACAAATTTATTCTGGGTTCTAAATAGATAAACAGCCTGATTTTGATAAATTGTTTAAACATTTCTCTGTTTTGAAATCAGAAATAACTTCGCAAACTTTAATGAAACGACCTTTGTTAGTATATATGAAGTACATTTTGCAAGTTAACCTAAAACATTTCCAATTTGTCTAACACATGCTTTTTTATTTAAAGTTAAACTGCAGCCTTATAAATAATCATTAGTTTTTTAACAAAGATTCCTATTATTATCCCACATACATTTATCTTCAATACTATCTATGCAGGTCTGATAGGTTTCATAATATTTGCAATACTCAAAACAATGTGCTGATATGAGAAACAGTAAAAGAACCAACTAAATTTTACAATAAATCATTAATTAAATATAATATGAAATTATATTTTATAAATTTGTTATTTCAATGTAATTAATTAAAAATAAATGCGTCATAATTATTAATAAAATATAGATTATTATTTCATATTTAATAATATTACATTAGTCATATCCTTAGAATAATCTAGAAATAAAATTTATTGAATAAAATTGATGAATAAGTTTTCTATATCCTAAAATCCATCCTTTATAAGGAGATATCTTGAATTTCTATTTTTAATAATATTAATTACGCATGCACGCAGTTCCTGAACATGTAACAATTGGACTTCCAAGAGAAGGATTACATACTTTTGATGACAACACAGAGTTGGCAAAACATCCAGCTCCATATAGAATTAAGGAAATTGAAGGTATGATTAAGAAATAAGTTGAATAGTCTAATATACTGATGAACACATCATCGGAACAGTCTTCAAGTATGCTGATGCTAAAGGACATACTATTGATGGTCATGATATTGAGAAATTTAAGCCATTTGGACATTTGTTCGGTAAAGTGCATAAGAAGCACTTCAAAGTCGATGATGGTAATGTTATATAATAATGTATTAGATGACGAAATTCTTGAAATTTCAGGACATGCTGGTGCTAGAATCAATGAGTTGAAATTCAAAACATATAGAGGAAAGGAGGAATCATTTGGAGTTAAGAATGGAGTCCACTTTGTCTATTCATTCCCAGGACATACTTTTGGAGCTGTTTCTGGTGGTTATGAAAAACATTTGGATTTCATTAGAGTTCATGTCAATGAACTTCCACCTGCTAAACATCATTTAAAAATTATCATCATCAAGAGTTGAATTATTAATTATATAATAAAATTATGTAATCATCCATAAATAATACAATTTATACTTCCAATACACACTGCTATAAATAAAAATGCTCTAAAATAGACTTCTTAAATTAAATTATTGGCAAAAGATAAATTACTAATGATAACTTCTTTTAGCTTAAATTTTAACAATTCTATAGAGATAGAATGTAATTAAACAAAATTCAAAAAAAAGATAATCTTGAATTGCATGATTAAATACTTCAATTATATAAAAACAATTAAGTTGCTCAATAACTTAATCTAACTATATCTGCTTAAGATAATACATATACATAATTATTTCCAAAACCAATTAAAACATCAATAGAAAGAAGAAGACCAAAATCATAATCAATTAATAAATATATTTTAAATTCTTCTAAAACTAAAAGACTTATTTTAACAGATGCTTTGAGAATATCTCCTAAATATATAAGCAACAGAACAACTGTCTCCTCCAGAAATGAAATTAGATCTGTGAGAAAAAACATCTTTTTAGATGCATTAATCCTTCAAGAAGATAGTTAGGATTTTTTCTGATATGTTTTTAATTAGAACTGAGAGGATGTGTATAGCTGATATATATATTTAATTTCTCAAAACTATTAAATGTACATGTGTTTAACAATCTACTCACAAAACTCTTTCTCTGAGATTATCCCGTCTTTGTTTTTATCTAATAATTTCATTAACCTTATAAGTTCTTCAATTTTTTATGGCTAATTCAATTCATTTTAAAAATAATTTATCAAATCATCCAATGTTATAAATCCTATTATAATACAAATTATCACCTTTTTTATTATGATCTAATCTAATAAATAATTATTTTAAGGTCAAGCCTTTTAATCTATTTTGGATTTTCAATTTATTAAGTAATAATTATAAGATATTCTAATCTTTATTTTCATTTATTCTAAATTCACTTACTTCAACTTCATCTTATCTTTGTAATTCTTGATGATGGCTATATGATAAACGATTTCTATTCAATTTATCAGTCTTTATATTTGTAGATTCATTTGTCATAAAATTTGTCTATCCAATAAAATTAGATTGTTTTTCAGCTATCTATTTTTTATTTTTTTGGGGTGTGTTAAATATGTAATTTTTATTCTCATCTTAATGAGCAAAAATTATATATAAAAAATCAGAATAATTTATTCTATAATCCCTTTCTCTACTATTTCTATAAATAAAATTTTCTAAATCTTTAATAGTATAATAAATTCTAGATTAATCAAAAAATTCTTTTAAACTATTATAATTAATCTAATTTACACTTTAAAATCCCATCTTCTTTCGGAATTTACTGATTCCCAAGCATTAATTTTATTCCAATCTCGTTATGCTTTTAATTATTGCATTTAATTAAACATTCTCTTATTTAATTCAATTTCTGCTAAAAATACTTACATTAATTGTTTCTCTACTAATTTTGGCAATTTATTTTCTTAAATTTTATATGATTATCTATTATAAGCTAAAAAATTTAAATCTTCATCTTTATGAGGTAAAATATATCTCGAAAACCTAATTATATTTTAAATTATAACTCGCTGAACGATATATATTGATGTTTATCAATATCTAGTTTTCTAAACATTAATAATAAATCATCATCACAATATAATAGATCATTATCTGAAAAAAACATTTTAAGATCATTCAAATCTATGTGAAGGATTCTAATAATAATCGTTTAAATACTTTTTATAATCCAATCTGCAAAAAACTGTATAGGGTTCAAAATAAATATTATGTCCTAATTATTCTCGTTTATTCTCAACCTCATTTTCAAGTTTTACAAAATCTTCAAGGTATTTTTTAAATAACTCAAGAGTTCTTTCTGATAGCATTTTAAAATTACAATAAATTTTATTTTTTTTATATTAACAACTAATTTTTATTAATTGTTAAGTCATATATATTTTCATGAATAACCTCAATTATTTTTGATTATCTGAATTTATTTAGATTATCCAATAAGATAACTACAGAAATTAGATTTTGATAAGAGAATTATAATAGGAAAAATAATTATAGTTCTTCTAAATCCGTAAAATATTAAGTTTTGTTCTTTTACAGAATATATAAAATATAAACAAAAAATTAAAATAAGCTTCTCTTTTTGAGATTTATTCTCTACTAATAAAAAAGACTTTTAATTAAATTATTTATACCTATATCTAAAAAAATTAAATAAAATAAGAAATGAAAAAAATTTACTTGTTAATGGCTTTTGATAGAATTGAGCTTAATGAAATAAAATTTTAGAATTGAATTTTTTTTAATTATTAAACTATATAATTATTTTATAATGAACGGTCTTATATTATCAATGTTATAAATTTTAAGGTTAATTTTAGAACCTTAAATCATAATTTTTGCTTTTTATTTGATGTGATGAATTATTGCGTTAATGTTCAGCTCCATAATTTGAAACTTCTGTAGGTTTTTGATTTGATTAAACTTAAATTCCAGATTAATGATATTAAGGAGAGTTAATTTGTTAATAGTTAGGTTATGGTGAATGATAATCGTGACTTTATTCTGTAAATAAAGGTTTCTAATTTCCCAAACTTACCTGAGGTTCAGTATTCCAAGAATATTACTATTTAAGTGTTTGTTAAAAATTGAGATTATGAATTTCATTTTCTAAATTTCTAACCTTAGAATCTAATTGTAATTATTTTTCCTTGTAAAATATATATTAAAATTATTACTCTTTCTCGTGCTAATTCATGTTCCAAAACAATATTCCTTTCAGCTAAAACAGCATTCTAAGATCTCCAATTTTAGATATCTCGATCTTTTAAATTATTTTCTTAATCATGTTTTTATAACAAAGATTCAAAATCTCTTATTTTTAAATCATATTAATTTTATATTCTACGTTAATCTTCAATTAATTATTTAATTTCTTGATTTAGTAATTATTTCTCCTACTCTAATCTTTCTTAATGTTATTATTAACTTTTGATTTGAGCTTCAAGTGTAATAATATCTATTACTATTTTTAATTATTACTTCTTTCTAATGAATCACATTTTTTTTCATAAACTAATAAATCAGCATGCATTTCTTTTAATTTTCCTAATTAAACAGTTCTTTCATTTCTTAATTAAGATTAGATTTCTAAAGCTTATTTTAATTGAGTTTCAGTTTTTATATAATCATTTTCTAAATTCACTAAAGCAGTCTCTCTTTTCTTTACTTCTTATTCTAATTAATTTCCATAATTTTTCCATTTATCTAGTTATCTACTGAGATCTGATGATTACATTTATGATCTTTATAAATTATCTTCCATACTTTTTTCCAACTAACTACATTTATTTGATATTAAAGAATTTTATTAAGTTATAGAATTTATTGATTCTTTTAATTTCCAAATTTCCTAATCTTATTATTAACATTTATTTGACAATTTCGTATATTCAACTTTACCACTTGAAATTATAGCATTACTTTGTTCAATTTATCTCTATTCTAAATATAAATAAGCAAAATACATTCACTTAATTATTGATTCAATTGTCTTATTTTATTTTCTAATTAGATATTCATATTCTAAGATATTTATAGTTCTTTCTCTTTTTACTATAATTAAGTTATTTAATTTTTCAATTATTCGTTTTAAAAATTAAGATTAGATAAATTTTTTTATAAATTACTTATTTAATCCTTAGCTCCAGACTATATTTAATTTAATTTTTGATTCAACATTTAATTTTGTTCCTATTCTTTTTGTAAATCTTTGTTAATTGTATCTAATGCCGTTTTCATTTTTCTGTTATCAATCAACAATTACTCATTTTTTTAAACCTACGATTCAAATCCTAAAGTTTGATCTCTAACTTATGCTTTGTATTTTTCAAGTATTTCCTTTTAATTTTGTATTTCAGATTCTTAAAATGCATTCTATCTTTTTTATTCTTATAATTATTTGCTAACAATTGCTAATTGCTACTCTAAATTTGATATCTAATTTTCAAGTCCTCTATTAAGTTCTACTTGTTTCCTTAATTTCTGCAAATCTATCAACAAATATTAATCGTCTTAAATAGTATTTGTTAATCTTTTATTCTCATTTTTTAATATCAATATTTGATCTCTAGTTTTATATTTAATTATTATACTATAATTCTTAGATTTCATTCATATTGGATTTATCTCTTGAATTCAATTGAATGCTAATATTATATATAAGATTATAATACTTGTCACTCTTCAATTTTTGATTTTCCTATTCTAATGCTCTCCACTAATACCTGATTAGTTTATATTTATTACTTTAATGTATCGTTTTCCTTACTTAATTTTTGTATCTGCTCTAATTAATCTTAATCTTTCATAGTTTATTAACCAATTTATGGATAGTTAAACTATGGGTATTATGTCAATTAAGAACTTATTTATGGATTTCCATAACTTAAATTTAAAGCATGTATTACTTATTTGTTTGTGAAGATCTTTAAGGAACCGATCTAAAAATATTAGAAATTTTCTTATTACTCATTTTGCTCAGAAATTTTTGAATTCTATCCATTCAATGTATTAGAGACCCCCAATTAGCGATTTGAATTGATTTTATTTCTCTCCTAAAATGGAATCTAAGATTGTGAATTGGTTTCAAATTGACTCATAGATATCTATTTTTTTAGAGATTATTTATTTATAAAAAGGCTTAAGCTTATAAACACATAGCTTCATATCAAATTAACATCATGAAAACTTTGCTTTCTCTTTTTCTCTATCTTAGGTTCTACAGTTATTGAAGCTAACCAAATAAATTTTTAATTATTTCTTCTCTTGATATACTTTCAATAGGAAGTTCAATTCTCGATGTAAAATTGATAATTTTTTGATGTGGCTCAAATCTTATTTTTCTATTTTTTGATGCCTTTCTATCAACAACTTTATTTTCCGTTTCTTATCTTTAAGCTTATTTTTTTAATATAAATTATTCAGTTTCTTTTTTAAGAGCTTCTTCAGCAGAATTTTGATTATTAAATGAAATTGTTTCTTTCTATAAATCTAAATAAAAATCTGTATCGTCAAATATATTTTTATTATTTGTTTCATTTAAATCAAAACCTTCTTCACCTAAGATTCTGAATATTATCTCTTTAATTATGTTTTTTATCTTAATTTATCAATATTTTATAAAGCTTTTTTTGATTATCCAATAGGAGTTAAAGTAGAAATCCCATTTATGATTTATTATCTTTATTTATTGATTATAATAAAGCTGATTTTGAGCTCCATCTTATAATATCTTCCTCAATTACTTTAGTAGAATCTTCAAATTTTTCATTAATTTTTTTAAATGAATTAAGATCATATCCATCATTTTTAATATTTGTCTAATCAATTTAATAAAGAGATGAATATAAATTTTATAAATTTGTAATATTACTTAAAATTAGCAATTTAAATCATTTAATCTTGAATCTTTTTATTTTTATAATTCACAAATAAATAAATTATTTTAAATAGGAAGTTTTTTAACACAATCTAATGTTTTTTACATTTCTAAAATTATTTATTAATTAGTAAAATACATTCTCTTATTTCAACAAGATTACCCCAAATTTACTATTATTGTTTAATTTATTCAGAAACTTCTTTCAATTCTTTTTTATTTTCTATTTACTTTTCTATAATTTCTAAATCTTCCTTCTCAATTTATTACAATTCTTTTTAAAATGTAGTCTAATTTTATTTCTTTTTAAGTTTTTCTTTAACATTGTTCTTATCATTTTAATAATCAACTGTATTAGATTAATTAGGTTCACTTTCAATAAATTCTGGTATTTCATCACTATTAATGGATTCATTTTAGAATTCTTCTTCATTTTAATGATTTAATTTTGAATTATTTGTTTTTTTGCCTTAATACTTCTATCCTAAATTGATGTCAATTTTATGTGATTTAGGTAAATGACCTTATAAAAGGTTTAAATATTGTTCATCATCAATTGAATCATAACTTAACTAATCTTCATGTTCATTTTCATTGTGGATTGAATGCTTAATGATAGGCTTTTTCTTTTACTTAATTTTAGACATATATTAAATAATTTAATATTATATAATAATAATGTATTAGATTGAGTAATGAAAACTAAAAGAAAAGAAAGAGGTAACATGAATGATAAGTGTTTGATTAGAGAGATAAAATAAATATATAAATTGGTTATAATTCAATTTAATTTGAGATTAAAGTTATTAGTATGAGTACTTTTATACAATCGCAATTTGCAGTTTCTGACAAGCAAATATTTGATTTTTAAAAACCCTAAGAGTATTCTGATTCAGAAGAGGAAGAAATGCGTTTATAGCTATAATTAATGAATAGCAAGGATTTGAAAAAATAAAAGAAACTATTTGACATTGAAAGCATAAAGAGTGAGCTTAACAGTAGACCATCACTCGAAATGGAATAATATCCTTAAAAATTTGGTAGAAAAATATAGAAAGCCAGTATGAGATAATTACCTCATCTGTTTATTCCAACATCTTCAGTGTTGATTGAATAACTTGGAAATATTCGAGCATTTAAAATGATGAAAGAGTAAGTTCCACCAGAGGTGATGCATAAAGTATATACTTAATTAAGGTATGTATATAAATAGATTTAGATATTAGTATGTTTAAGCATTCAATGTAATTTACAGATAAGGGGATTAAAATAAACGATACTATATTGTATTAGATGGTAGATGTGTTGTTATGAAACCCAGAGAGAAAATGGTAGGAATCTAAAAGGTAGAATTCGATATTGAAAATTAAACAACGAACGATAACAAAATTCCTTAAGATCCATATGGATTAAAGAATTTATTTCCTGATTACCTTGTAGTAAAAATGATTTTTTAAGGAGAGTATAATTATATAATAATATATAAGTTCATTTGGAGAAGTAGCTATCAAATTAGAAAGTACACGTGCATCTACAGTTTTTGCTGTAGAAAATACACATCTATTATATATAAGTGAAGCTGCTTATATTTAGCTTCTTGATCCTTATTTGAGTTAAGTACTTGAAGATAAAATTTAATATTTTAAAAAGAATATTATTTTCACATCTGTTGAAACTGATATAACTGAAATCATGGGTATATTACTTGAATGTCACAAAATAACATATAAAGCAGGAGATACTATTTATGATGAGGGAAATAAATCTAATTATATTTATTTTATCGTAAGTGGAGAAGTAGAATTATCTAAAAAGGTTGCTGATACAAATTTAGTATTATCATCTTATGGAGAATATTAATAATTTGGAGAAATTGAAATACTCAATAAAATTGAAAGATTTACTAAAGCAAGAGTTATTACACCAAGATTAATTGTATATAAAATAAGGAAGACTAAATTCTTTAATAATTTAGGTAACTTTCTTGTCTATGAAAATATGAAAAGAAAATCCATACTTATATTAAAACATTGGAAACTTATCTTTAATTCTGCTCTATCCTAAATTAATAGATAAACTGATGTAATTACCTAATTTTATTTATTAAGCCATATCTAAGTTCACATCGTAGATAATTAAAATCAAAAAAGAATAAACATGATAGTTCTAATTAAAGTTTAAGTTAAGTCTAAGTCTTTTAACATTTAACTGATGCTGGAATATTTTCAGATGACTAATAACATTATTTAGGTTCCGATGATACAAATTCAAAAAGAGGATTCAGCAGTGCTTTGTAATAATTTTAAGCCAAATTAAAAAAATAAGGAAATCATGCTTCTCAAATAGAATCAGCTACAAATAAAGTTAGAGATAAGTATCTATTTATATTATTATAGAACTTTTACAACAGATGAATATTAATCTCCTAAGCCTATTGTACATGGCAAATTTTCTTTTCATGTTAAATTACCTACTATCAGTCCAAATAAAATTCTACCTTAAATGAATTTAGATTAAATACTTGATTCAATCACTAAACTTCCTAAAGTTCCTACTGATAATCTTGTTATCTCTTTGATGTATTAATAAGCTTATAAGTCTAATAATCCAGATAAAAGAGCTAGGCAAATTTAATAAGTTATACAAGCTTCATTTAGAAATGTTAGAAAACATTTAGAATCTAAAGATAAAAAATAAATATACCATAGATTTAAATCATAAGATTCATTATTAAGAAACTTAAGAATGAGTGATAATATTGAAGAAAAAAAAGAAAAAATAGATTATTTAAACTTTGTTCATCCTAAACAAATATTTTGACTTCCTATAATTTATTCATTTTTTAATGTTTTATTTTAGTATATCCTATAAATATTATAATATATCATATTAATACCTTATAAATATTATAATAANTCATGGGTATATTACTTGAATGTCACAAAATAACATATAAAGCAGGAGATACTATTTATGATGAGGGAAATAAATCTAATTATATTTATTTTATCGTAAGTGGAGAAGTAGAATTATCTAAAAAGGTTGCTGATACAAATTTAGTATTATCATCTTATGGAGAATATTAATAATTTGGAGAAATTGAAATACTCAATAAAATTGAAAGATTTACTAAAGCAAGAGTTATTACACCAAGATTAATTGTATATAAAATAAGGAAGACTAAATTCTTTAATAATTTAGGTAACTTTCTTGTCTATGAAAATATGAAAAGAAAATCCATACTTATATTAAAACATTGGAAACTTATCTTTAATTCTGCTCTATCCTAAATTAATAGATAAACTGATGTAATTACCTAATTTTATTTATTAAGCCATATCTAAGTTCACATCGTAGATAATTAAAATCAAAAAAGAATAAACATGATAGTTCTAATTAAAGTTTAAGTTAAGTCTAAGTCTTTTAACATTTAACTGATGCTGGAATATTTTCAGATGACTAATAACATTATTTAGGTTCCGATGATACAAATTCAAAAAGAGGATTCAGCAGTGCTTTGTAATAATTTTAAGCCAAATTAAAAAAATAAGGAAATCATGCTTCTCAAATAGAATCAGCTACAAATAAAGTTAGAGATAAGTATCTATTTATATTATTATAGAACTTTTACAACAGATGAATATTAATCTCCTAAGCCTATTGTACATGGCAAATTTTCTTTTCATGTTAAATTACCTACTATCAGTCCAAATAAAATTCTACCTTAAATGAATTTAGATTAAATACTTGATTCAATCACTAAACTTCCTAAAGTTCCTACTGATAATCTTGTTATCTCTTTGATGTATTAATAAGCTTATAAGTCTAATAATCCAGATAAAAGAGCTAGGCAAATTTAATAAGTTATACAAGCTTCATTTAGAAATGTTAGAAAACATTTAGAATCTAAAGATAAAAAATAAATATACCATAGATTTAAATCATAAGATTCATTATTAAGAAACTTAAGAATGAGTGATAATATTGAAGAAAAAAAAGAAAAAATAGATTATTTAAACTTTGTTCATCCTAAACAAATATTTTGACTTCCTATAATTTATTCATTTTTTAATGTTTTATTTTAGTATATCCTATAAATATTATAATATATCATATTAATACCTTATAAATATTATAATAATTCACTTGAAAAAGTCCTTACAGAATATGATATAATTAAATTCCCACCATCTAAAATAGATTTTGTATTCCATTCAACACAAAAAAGGAATAAGAATTTCATAGAGGGTATGGGATTTTGCACTTTTATATGTAAATTTGGATTAATTGATTAGAATAAATATAAAATATTAAAATTAATTAATAAGATTTTTTTGAATTGATAATTCATGATGAACTACCATTTACATAAATAACTAAAAATAATTAAATTGTTCATTTAATGTAATTTTGTTTAAATACAAATTATTTTATATTTATATCTCTATTTATCAATAAATTAATCGCAAAAGATATATTAATTTTAATAATAAAATTTAATTATTATATTTGATGAAGAAATAATGGTTATATGAATGAGATAAAATAGATTCATTCATTGATTTAATAATGATCTAGTAAATAGATAGATATTATTATGGAGACTTAATAAAGATATGATTAATATTTCAATAAATAATAAATTTTGTTTGTATATAAATATATTTATTGTTGTAAAATGCTACTTAATTCGACAAGTTAACGAAAACTCAAACAAAATAGTTTATCTACTTTTAAAAGTCCGATAATAGTTCCATCAAGTTAATAAGTTTCTCCTGTAGCATCAGGATTGAATAGTTTGAAAAATGTACATAGCCACAAAGGATCTTAGATTGATGTTACGAACCTTACACGATTAATAAAATCAACAAAAATTAATGAGGTAAAATGGTTTAGATAGTATAGTCAGTAAATAACTAATAGATATAAGCTTTATTAGCAAAAGCTAGGGAAATAGCAAAAGTAACGACAGAGTCTAAATCATAAGTATAAAAACAGCATGTTAAATTACAGAGTTAACAGTTTGTAAATTTTAAAGACTTACTTCATAATTCTACTTCAACAAAGATCCAATAAGAAATGTTATTTTGCAGAAATAAATATAATTTTGAGTTTGTGATTGGAATAGGTGGTTTTGGTAAAGTTTGGAAAGTTGAGCATAAAAAGACAGGTTAAATATTTGCCATGAAAGAAATGTCAAAAGCATTGTATAAATTGAATGTTAATAAGAATTGTAACTAAAAAAAGTGTACATTCAGTGATGAATGAACGAGCATTATTAAGTTAATTAAAGCATCCATTGTTAGTTAATATGAACTTTGCTTATTAAGATAGAGAAAATTTATACTTATTAATGGACTATATGAAAGGTGGAGATCTTAGATATCACATAGGGAGAATGAGAAGATTTGATGAAAACTCTACAAGTATTGATGTAAAGTTAATTTGAAGAGTTTTTTATAGCCTGTATCATTTAGGGATTAGAATATATACATTCAAATAAGATAATCCATAGAGATATAAAACCTGAGAATTTAGTTCTTGATGAAAAAGGATATATTCATATAACAGATTTTGGTATTGCTAGAATAATGAAATCTGAAAATAGTAGTGATACTAGTGGAACTCCTGGATATATGGGTATATTATATTAATTATATTATTAGCACCTGAAGTTATGTGTAAATAAAATCATACTTTTGCAGTTGATTATTTTGCTGTAGGAGTTATTGCTTATGAATTTATGATTGGAAGAGTAATCATTTAATTATAATTCAGAGACCATATGTTGGAAGATCAAGATAAGAAATTAGAGATTAAATCTTAGCTAAATAAGTTTAAATTAAAAGAAATGAAATACCTGATGATTGGTCATTAGAAGCAGTTGATTTTATTAATAGAGTAGTTTTCTAATTATATTTATTAGTTAATACAGAGAAAACCTTAAACTAGATTAGGCTACAATGGAAGTTCAGAAATTAAAGAACATCCATGGTTTGCTCAATTTCCTTGGGATTAATTGTAAAATTAAACTTTAATTCCTCCTTTCATTCCTAATGTATTTTATTTCTTTAATTTTAATAGTAAACTGAAGATAATTTTGATTAAAAATAAATTATAATTGAAGATGAAGAAAATAATGAATTAATTTAATAAAACATTTTAGTTTTAAGAGATCAACTGATTTAAGGTAATCTTTTATTTGATATCAAAATAGATTAATTTTAAGGATATGAATTTAATTAAGGATATCATTCTACTTCCACTGAATAATCTTCTGGTTCATCAACTAAACATAGCCGTCATCTAAGTGAAAGATTGTAGTTTTTTGAAAAAAAGAAAATAATAATATGATCAAATTTAGTTTCAAATTTTTACAGCATTTAATAAATAATAAGATTTATTTTGAAGAATAAATTATACAAGGATCCAATTTATCAATTTTATTTTATTGTAAGTTCTAATTTAAAAACTTCCTTTTAATAATTTGTCTAAACTTCTATTCCTAAATATGTTCTTTTACATCTATTCTTAGGAACATTCTTTCTACTCTTAAGCACTAAGAAGAATACTATTCATTCATTGAAAAGCAATGCATAAATAATCAACTTTTCATTTTTAAATTTAAATTTTTAAAGTTCCTCCCAATTTCATTCTAATGATTTTAATCATTGCATATTGAATACCTCTTCTTAAAGAACTTAAATTATAACTTAAAAAGAAAATAATTATTGAGGAATCCTTTTCGCTCGTTTTTTATATATTTAAACAATAAGTTTATCTTTGATAAAATGTAAAATACTTAATAAATTCTTTGAAAAAATTTTAATCAAATCGATTTAAGATTAATAAGAGGTTTCAACAAATGCTGGGGACAATTATATATAAATTAATTTCCCTTAGAATCAAAATAAATTGTGAACAAATAAATCTAATCTATGAATTGAAATTAAATAATGATACTCATTAGATTGATCATCCCACCTAAGTAATCAAAAGTTTGATTTTTATTCAATCATAACAACCTTTCTTTACAATTATTACTAATAATTGTATGAAAAGGCAATTTTGATTATTAAATCTCATTTTATTATCATTTCTAAACTATTAAGAATGCTTACTTGAAAAATTATTGGAAAACATCAATAAAGATACAAATTAACATAAACTGATTAGATCCTTTTTCAAGTTTACCAAAGATGTCTTCCATAATTAAGTACACAAATAAGGTTCCATATTTAATATCTAATTATATGAAACATAGTTCTAAAAACATTCCATAGTGAACTAAATAAAAATTTACCATTTTAAAGGCTCTACTTTGAGTTTTTCGCTACAAAATAAACTTAACCATAAGTAGAACATCTTAAATGGAATTTTTTACGCGCCTTTACATTTTGTATAAAAAGATTTTATAACCTTATAAATACTGTATAAAGAACTTTTTTTTTTCAATATTAAACATATGAATTCTCCTCACTTCATTAGATAAATAGAGAGTGAAGATACAAATTCTCTCTAAGCATCTAATTAAACATTCAACCTAAGAGAAGATCAAGAGAATACAATTTAGGCTGACTTTCTTTAAGAAAGTGTATCTGGTTATCTGAACCTCTCAGATTCCCCTTATGAATAGGAGTTCTCATCTTTTATATTGGAGGATCCTCCTAAAGTAAAAACTAAAAAAGACAACTTCATCATAATAAAGAATAATTTAGAATACTAATGTGGATTTTGTGAGAAGGTTTTTTCCTATTCACATAGTCTTGGAGGACATGTTCAAAAAAATCATAGAATACAGAAGAATTACAAAGCTAGACTCTCTTCTATCAGATTGAGAACAAGACCTGTTAGGAATTGTTAACATTGAATTTGAATTCAAATTCCTTCACATACCCATATTATATATTAATTATTTTTCAATAAAAGATATTTCCTCTATTATAATTTTTCAAATTATTTTCTAATTATAATTAAGAAAGTTAAGATACTTTGGAATAACAAATGTGATATTAAAATTAATATAAATTTATAAATTATTAATCAGTTAAAAAAATAAGAATTATGAATTTAAATTTCAATTTTGATTTGATTTAATAACAGAATTCCTGATTCAATAATAAATCTACCTCAAACTATCATTTTAACATCTAAGATATTACTTATTATTATAAATTATTTTAATTTACTTAAAATTAGAAATAAAATAAATAATAACCATTCTATTTGATTAACTTAAACATTTTACTCTTTATTCTTTTTAAATTTTGGTTTAGTAAATTTAATTTAAAAATTCATATTGTAATTTTTTAAATAGGATAATAACAAAACATTAAAAGAAAAAATAGTCTTAAGAATAAATTATTTAGAAATATTATTAAATTATAATATTTCCATTTAAATTTATACATACTGACAAATAATGATAGATTTAATAGATAAAAATAATTTGAATTTCTCATATCTAAAATAAAAGCTGAAATAAATAAAAAAAATGATCATAAAAATTTATATATCTTAAATAGCCTAAAATTAGCTTTAAATTATCATCTAAAATGTCAAAAAATGCTTTAATTTATGTTATCTAATTTATTTGATACTTCCTTTAAATGAAAGTGAGGCTGAATAATTTTATTAAGTTTTTTTAGAATTTTAATTAATTATTTCTTTATGTAATTTTTAGATATAAATTACTTTAAAGAAGATTAGAGTTGAAGAGAGTTGCATTTTATTAATATGAAAAATAAGCCATCAATTTGAAATTTAATTAAATAAATTAAAATATTATTTATGGATTAATAATTAGAATAAGTTAGTGTTGATATCCAGAAAATAGTATATAAAAAGGCAATGTTACATGCATGTAAATATTCAACTGAAGATGTTATAGGTATTGATTTATATAATAATATTTAGGAATATTGGTTGGTTAGATTAATGATAAATGTATAAGTATTGTGGATGCATATCCGTTATTCCATTCAAGAGTAAGTTTAAACACTTTAGAAGTATCCTTAGATATAGTAAATGAATGTGTAAATAATAAATTAGATATAAAGTGAATTGTAAAGTGATAGAAAGATAATTGGTGTTTATGAGGCTAGAGCTAATTCTCGAGGTATTATGAGTGAGATTGCTCAAGAAATGTTATAAAACATAAATTAAAAGTAAGCAATTTTGATGAGAATTTCATAAATAGAATTGGATGATAATTATTTATTGAATGCTAAAGTAAAAATAAATAAATATTAAAGATTGTTTCATTGAATGAAAATATGAAATATGTGATAAATTCATCAAGTACATTAGAATGGAAGATTATTGAAGATTGTTTGAAAGCTGGTCTTCATTGGAAAATAATAGATTTCGATGCTCATTTTGAAAATGTGTAATTAAATTTCAGAAATCAGTATTTAGAATGAATAATATGAAATAGGTTTATAATATTCATCTTTACTTTTTTTATAAAACTTAATGGCTTATATCTTTATAGGATTCACCATACATATTCTCAGCTTTAATTCCCGTCATAAATCCAGTATAACCAACAATGGGTGGTTTTGGTGTTTCATACTAGATATAAAATTATCTAAATACAGTTTATCTAAATTTATCATTAGTTTCAAGCATAGTTTTTGCCATTTCTTTATCCATTTGATTTAAAGGATGTACATAAGGTTAAGGTATTTCAGGAGGAACAACTTATTTTAAAGGATGTCTAAAAACAGGTCTAAATCCTTGATAACCAACAACTGGTAATCTATCTATAGGTGGTATATCATTAATTGTTTTAGGCATCGATCTAAAAATTAAATTAATAAGAATTACTAATAAGTGCGATAATTTCTATCATTAATAACTTTTTCTTATCTACGAGCATCTTCTAAAATTCTTTCAGCTGCTGTTTAAAATTATGGTTTTCTTAGATTTGGTTCCTAGATAACTGTTAAATTGATACTCCAAACTCAATCTTATAACTTGTTTATAATCTTTCTCTCTCTTCAGAATTTGTACATCTAGCTAATCTATCTTCCATACACTCAGCTGTTATCTTTGCAAATGGTTTTCCATATTGAGATTCTAAAATATAATTATATAAACACCAGCTTTTAATCCTCTTACATGTCCAGCATATCCAGGAACATGTTATTTTTATAATTCATAAGTTGGTCCACCTATCCAAGTTTATCCTGTCACTACTTAATCTGTAGAAGGAATTAAAGAAATTGTTTTCATTTTTTATTTATTAATATAAATAATTCATCATAAATTAGGTATTAACAATCAATCATTTTAAATTAAACATCTTTGTTTCTTACTATATCTTTTTAAATTTTGTTCTAGATATTAATGTATTGCTTTTTGGACTCAAAAACTTTTAACTGGTTGTTAATTTTATTGGTTATAATAATTATTTATATAGTTCTGTTCCTCGAATTTGTCCATTTGACATTAATGAAGTCAAAATTTGTTCAGATCTTGTTAATAATATTAATTGATTTTGTAAATGATTTCTCATTGTATTATTTTTTTAAAATAACAATACTTCTTAAACTCTTGGTAAAGATTCTTTCACATAAGGAAAACTTGTTTCTTTTTTATCAAATCTTTTATCTTTATCTTTTAACTTTTTTAATCTAATAGATTAAACTGCTAATGGTCTTTATGGAATAAAATCCAGAGATGTTTTTTGTATATTTCTACTTGTTAAATTAAGTTTCTATATTTCTATATTTTGAGTTTCAATTGATTATTCTTAATTTTCTGAAGTCTAAATTGGAATATCCAATTATATTTTTGTATTTTAGCTACTTTAGATATTTTATTAATTAAATGTTTCAAACTTTTAATATGCAAATAGTTTTTTAGGAAATCTTAAAGTACTTGGACTCAGAATAAGAGATTATTAAAGATCTAAAGATTTAAAAGAATTTTTATTTTTCAAAACTATTTTTATAGAGCTTTAGTTTTATAAATGAGACTCATCTGTTGGTAACAATTTTTAAGATAATGTTTATTAATAGGATGATTCTAATAACACTTATGGACTCAATCTCAATGAATGCAACTTTGGTGAGCTATTAGATAAATTTGGAGATTATTCACGAGATATTTAATTACAATTAATTAATTTTTAAATTTCTTAATATTATTGTTATTCATCCTCTTAAATAGAATTATGAAGAATTGATTCACTTTATTTAAATATTTCTTTTTTATGTTAACTAAATTTTTGTGAAATTTATTCTTCCATTTAAGTTTTTGTAACTTAAGAAGTTTAATCAATACCTTCTTTAATCTTTGTTTCATAAATCTACTTAATTGATAAACAAAATATTTTTCTAATTTCTTTAAGAGAATTATCTTGCATATTATCATCAATATCATCATAATTTTTTATTGATTGTTAATATCTTTTAATAGTGTATTAAATTTGTTAGTTTCTTAACATAAGTTTATTCATTTTATAATCAAATGAATTTTTTAGTATATCATAATTGAGAATAGGCTAAATGAGAGTTGAATTCATAAATTAAAAAGATGGTATGTCTTCCAAACTTGTAATACTTTAATAAAGTTCTTTATTAATAGGTCTTGCAGTTGTTTTTGTCATTGGCATCTTTAAATTAAGTATTAAATAAGGATTCATGAAATCCTAATTCTTTGGATAAAAATATTTATCTTAGATAGTTTATATCGATAAGATATCTATTTTGTTATTCATTATTTTAGGCATAATGGGTTCATCTATAGTTTTAATTGCTTTCGTTATTTTAGTTACCTCTAATTGAAGACGTAACTAGAGATTAAGATTATAAGTATACTCTCTATTGCTTGAAAACATCTTCAATAGTAACACCTCCATAATTAATTTACTTTAAAATCTAAATAAATTTAATGTGGTCTTTGATATGAATTGCAGAATTTGCTGGAAAGTGCATTTTAAAGTAGGAAAATGATAAATTTGCAATTTATAAAAAGTTGTTTTGAAAATATTCTAAATCTGATTATGGCCATCTTTCAGTTTTTAATATTTTATTTTCACTTTATTAGTTATGAATATCAATTTTTTAAATTTGACCATATGATTCTATAACATTTTCACTTAATTAAAGCATTTTTGATAATAGAATAAGATGCTCTCTTTTTAGAAATAATGACACAATTTTGGTTTTCATGAAATAAATATATATTTATTTACTATTATTAGACATAAAAATAAAAATAAATTAAACAATGAATAGATAAGATTAGCTAGATTTAGTTTTAAAATTTTTAATATTTAATCAAATAATATAGTAAATGCAAATAGAGTGTGCTTTAAGAGATTTGATATATATATTAATAATAAAAATAATTATGAAATCAAATTCATCAGCTTATACACCTTAGAATCCTGAAATATTTCATAAAGGACATATTCATTTCTTTGATTTATTATCATCATTTCATGGTTTAGAAGATTAGCCTGACTATTCAGTTTAATAATAAACAATTTAAGATAAGTTAAGAAATTAATATCTCCATGATAATAATTGGGAAGATAGTAATAAATTATTTATATTATTAGAATTATGTTATAGAACATGTTTCAAAATTTAAGAAAAAGAATATGTTTAATTTTGTTTAGATATGAAATGTTAAGGCACTAATTATTTGAAAGCAGCTCAAGTTTTGGGATACTTTAAAACTGGAAATCCAACACCTAAAACTCATAGTCATCATCATCATTGATATAGTATCAATACATAAATATTAATAATAACAAAATTGCTATTAATATTCAGAGAATTAATAATTTTTATAATTATTTCATAGACTTTATTGATTATATTGATTGATTGTATTATACCAATAGAATATCCTAAAATTTAATGGATAATTTAAATTCAAAAGAAGAATTTGTTGTCTTTTTATTTTATACTAAAATTAATTAATATTATTAATGAAAAATATTTTTAGTTATTTTTACGGATCATCTGTAAAATATTTTATCTATTTTAGGAAAATAAAAAAAGTGAAGTAAAAGATCCAAAGTTTGATTAGTAATTTGAATCATTTATTTTTGAATTTACTTCAAATGAATATTTCCCTCTTTATGAGAAATGGACGAAAGGAGAAGAACAAGAATATATAGGTTTCTAGTTATTGAAAAAATTAGATTTTAAATTATAGGACATAGAAGACATTTATTTAAATAATTATGACTAACAACTAAAGTTTTAATAAGAAGAGACAAACTTAATAGATTATATTGTATAAGAGGATGACACTTTATTTGGATTAGAATTAAAATTTAATATCAAGTAATTAAAAAGTTTATAAGAAAGTTAGACCAGAATTTTAAAAATTAATGACATTTCTCCAGAGTGCTTTGTTCCTGGAATGAGAATTAAAGTTCCTGAAATTTCTTAAGAATAAAGCTAATCTTTTATTTAGGAAAGTGAAACAAATGATTTACAATTGAATTAATCATCATTTTATGGAAGAAATTTAATGGATGAAATTATGTCAAGAGGATAAACAAAAAAATGTATGTATTATTTATATACACAAAGTTAATGTTTATTATGTGACTAATTATGGTTGTATAGAAGGAGTATTAACAGTTAATAGTGATGTCATATTATTTGATCCTAGTTTTGTAGATAGAAATAAAGAATTAGTATAGAAATGTCACAGTATATAACATATTCTAATTTATTCTAGAATAAAGTATTTTAAATTTTTAAGCATGTTTAATGACTGAAGATGTGATATCAGTTGATTTAAATGAATTACCTATGAGAATAGCAAAATCTAGTTCGAAATGCTTTAAAGATTATTTAGTAATGGTACATATTAGTGCAAATGTTTCATCTAAAAAATTATTAGAAGTTTTACCAATTTTGACTTTCAGAGTAAAAGTCTTAAATAACCTAGATCTAAAATGATGATGATTAAAAAGAATTTAAAATTCAAAGTATAGATTTATGTGAAACTTTGGCTGATGTTGTCAAAACTAAATCAGAAAGAATGTTAGATGAATAGAAAAAGAAGGAATAAGATTTAACAATTATTCCTTTTTATGATGTTCAAGATTCAAATTTAACTGAAAAATTTATAGAAAGAACCAATTAATTATGGGGTGGATAAGATTATATTCCATAAATGGTTTCTGAATCTTAAATTTTAGAAAATGATGAATTTATTTAAGTAATTTATATATTTTCATTTTTAGATTATAGCAAATGTGCCATCAATTTTTAAAACATCTGATTGGAAATTAATATTTTCAAATGTTATACATGGCTCTTCTTTCTTAACATTGCTTAATAATTGTGAAAATCATTCTCCATTAATTTTAGCAATAAAGGATTTTAATGAATGCAAGTTTGGAGCTTATTTAAATGAATCTCCATAACTTACATTTGGAAAATTTTTCGGAAATGGAGAAACTTTCCTTTGGACTTTTAAAGTATTTCATCATAATTATATTAGTAAAATGATTTCAAAACTTTTAATTGGTCTGAAGCAAATAATTACTTTATTTTTTGTGAATCAGACGGTTTAGCTGTTGGATGTGGAGAAAAATTCGGTTTATATGTCAATCATTCTTTAATAAATGGTAACACAAATTCATGTGAAACCTATAAAAACGAAATCCTAGCAACCACTAACGATTTTAGTATATAAATACTCGAAATCTGGGGATTAAGTGAATGATGATTGCTCTTATGATAATTTATTTACCTATAAAATTAAAGTAATCTTTTATTATTTACAAAAAATCAACAATATGATCATTTTCTTTACTTATTTAAATATAAATATTTGTGAATTAATAATAAATAAAATTGAAGATTTTTTATAACTTTCTTTTTTTTAATTATTAATCTAAATTTTTAGATTTTACAAAATATCAATATAATTATATATTACCAAAAGATCTCTATTCCACTTATTTCTAAGCATCCATCCTAAACAAAGTTATTTTCATCATTGCACAATTCATTATATGTCTTTATTGCATTCATTGCAATTTTAACAGTTAATTTAACATAAGTATTAGCATTTAAAGCATCCATCACAAGGTTAATTATTTTCATCATCTTATTTTTCATCTGAAGCAAAAATTAAGTTCACACAAATAGATAAATATTTGTTATCAATCAAATAAAATCCAATAGGACTAGTTAATATTTGGAGTTCTTCTATATATTAAGATAAACATATTCCATTTAGACAATAGACAAAATTTTCTTCACATAAATTTTAAAATTCAGAACATCTATCTAAGTCTAAGATTCAAAAAAAGAATAGAGAGAAAATGGATTAAATGATATTGTTATTTTAATTTTTTTATTTAAATATTAATCTAATATCATAAGAGATTTTTAAAAAATAAACTAATGATATTGATATCAGTAGATCAAAAATCTTACGGTAAAATGAGTGATCAAAATAATAATCTTTTAATTTTATCACTAAAAATTGTTGCTAACATGTCTTTAGGTTTGTATTGTATCTTAACTTAAAATTAAATAATTCATAATTAATATTTTATCATAATAGTTAACAATTTAGTATAAATTATTAAATTGTTGACAATTTTATAATTCAATATTTATTATAGAATTTTTAGAAGATAAACTAAAAAAAAAATGAGAATTAATCAAATTTATAATTAAAATGGAGAGATATATAAAATATAGCCTAAAAACTTTGGAAATATATTGATAACAACGGATAAATTTACTTATTTCGCAGGTGAAATTATATCAGGTATTAGCTAAAAATATGTTTGTAGGAAATATCTGTTTGAATGTTATTGGGGGGGAATTTCTAGGATGTATACTTTATTTGGGTTTCACAGGCAAAGAGAAATGTCAATGGGAAGAAACAGATACTGAAATAGAAACAAATCCAAAGAGAGTATGTACAGGAAAGTCTTATATACTTTAAGATAAAGTGGAATTACACACTTTTGAAAGTCCTCTATAACCTTATTGTTAGTATGTTTTCCCATTTTAATTTTATCTTACATCTCACCTTCCTAGTTCATACTATGAAAAAGATAAAGCATAAATATCCTACAAGGTTAAAGCTTTTGTTCAATCTAAAAAATTTCCCCTACCTTTTCTCAAGCACAGTCAACAGCTTATGATTAGGGAACAATTATAAAACTATAATTATTCTTTGATTAAATAGGTAACTTCTTCGTTTTGTTGTTTCCAAAGAAAAGGAGTACTGAAAAACTTTTATATTTAGGCTTGTTATTTCTCATGTACTATAGATAAAAGTTACTATTTACCAGGGGAAGAAGTAAATTTAACTATTGATATCGATAACTCTGACTTAAATTAACCTCTTAATTATTTAGAAATATATTTAAATCATCAATTAACATTAATTGATAATTAATAAAATTATCATTTTGAAATTGAAAATAAACCAGAATAACGAATCGCAGGAGTTGAAGCAAGAGGAAAGAAAAAGTTAAAAATACAGTATTGTTTGAGAAATAATGATCCTCTGATTAAGTTATAACCATCAACAAAAGGGAAATTAATTTAGTCAGAATACTAATTAGTGATTTAACCTCATATATAATGTATTCTTAAAGTTTATTTTAGCTTATTCTTGCACCAAAGAATGGTGGGAGTTAAAGGCAATGTAGATAATGTCTTTCAAAATTGAGATTCTTTAATCGGTCTTTGAAAACAATCTTCAATTATTAAAAGAACCTTTTAATGAGAATTCTTAAGTTTTTTAGATCTAAAAAGTATGCCTAACAGATAGAAATAAATAAGAAAAATAATAAATGATGGTAAAATATATTAAATAAAAGATTCCACTTCGAAGTTAGATTTAATTAATGTAATAAACTATGAAGGAATGATTAATTTATAAGGAGAAACAATATTTTTATTAAATTATTTTAATACAATTACTTCCTTTTTTTAGAAATTTTTTTGTAATTTTGTTCAAAAATATTTATTAATTATTCTTTTTGTACTCCTCCCTAAATTCATCAATTTAAAATTTTAAATATTTCATTTATTCGCTTTCATCTTATTTTGTTCTTATTCTAAACCTATGTATTTTTAATGTATGACTAATTTGCTGATGTATAGATTTCGCTTTTTTCAATTTTAACTTTTTCTAATTTAAATAGTATTTTATAAATTAAATTTCATTTTATTTAATAATAAAAGAAATTGAATCAATAATTGTAAAATTGGCTCACCAAATTAAGTAGATTTACTTTTTAATACAACAATTATTATTTATATTATATATTATATAATCTATTTTGGCAATTATTTTCCAATTTTCCAAACATATCTTGACTCAATGTTCCTAAAAGGAAACTTAAAACTAGCTGAAATAGTAAAAAAGAATCTACTTTAAATATGAAAGCACATAAATTAAAATTAAAGCTAACTTCACTGTTCCAAAATCCTATGGAATAGTTGATTACCGCCCATATTAATTCACATATCTTCCCAATTATAGAATAATATATCGAACATTATTTATAGATTCTATTCAATATACGATGTGTAATTACTAAAGTATTTTAAAAATTATGTTTAATTAATTTGAAGTATAGACAAGGAAAATCTAGCAATACAACATTAATCTCGAAATGGTTCACATAAAGGGCTAGATCTTTTTCAAAAACAATTAGATAGTCTTTATTTATTCATTCCAAACTTCAGTTAAATAACTTAATGATTTTGAATAATTAAATATCTATTGTGATCTTAATTTAATTTTTAGTCTAAGTTTGATATCCATTTTTATCAAATAATTAACAACAATCTTCAAATTTATTAAATTCGTCGAGTGTGATAATGATCAAGTAACAGTTCCTAATAATTATGGTATATTTGGATGATTGATGATATAAAAAATAATTATAATTCTTCTAACCCAGTTGAAATTTTACTAATATTTTGATGTTAATTTCTTATTTCTAATTTTCCAATTTTAAAATTACTTATACATTTTAAGTTTTGAAATTAATTCCCTGTTAAATAACTGAACTTTTTTATTCCATATTTACTAATTCTTTCACTATCTTTTATTGACTTAATTCTTTATTTACAATAAATTCATCAAATTGATTTGATAAATATTTTCTTTATTTATTGTAATCAAAAATCTGTTTCTTAAGATCAAACAATGTATTCTATTTGAAAAATATTATGATTTGATATTACCCATTACTTGGAATATTCAATGGTATAAATTGAATTAAACCAACTCTTCCAATATCTGAAAATGATTGTAATATGGAAGTTGATTAATACATTTTCTATTTAATTCAATTGTTAAGAAAAACAGAATTTCTTGTTTGTGAAATATATAATTTAAAATATAGATAATTGAATTATTTTAGATAAAATATGAATGTAAATATTCAATTTGAACTTATTATAAACCTAATTAATAATTTCAATAAATTTCTTAATTTTTTTTTTTTAAAATACAAATAAGAGAAAAAGAATGAATTATATAAATTTGAAAATCTATATATATATATGAGTTTAATCAAAATTCAGGCATATAAAACCCTATCAATAGGCTAATGAAGGCTATTACAATTAATTAAAATAATGAAAATTTAACTTAGTCATCTTTCTGCTCTTCAAAAGGAATATTTTATTTTGCTTTTAAGAGAACAATCTATTTATTCAATTCTCTTGTTTCATTTATAAGTTCTTATTATTGCTCCTAAAGACTAGCAATAGTTTCTTCCTTTTATAAGTTTTAGGATATTTATAAAGAATCTTTTTGTTTTCTTTAACTAATCATAGATTTCATAATAGTTGATATAGGAGTGCCATCTCCATTTTAGATTTATGAAATATGTGAAGTAAACATAGGAATTCTTCTTTCACTTGGTTAAGTAATCTTTCACTATTAGTACTTTTAAGGTATTACATAAGAGACTGTTTCAGATTAAATAAAATCTGATACTTGAAGGATAATAGAGGGAAGTTCTTTAATTTGATCCTTAAGGAGTTTAAATTAATCCATGATTTCATATTGGTCTTTTATTTCTTAAGGTTTTTCAATATTCATTGAAACTATTCGAACTTTAACAGCCTCTAAAATAATTTTGAGTATATACTATCAAAAATAGTGTCTTTTGTAATCAATTTAATTGTTTTGCTTTCTCCAGCTTATAATATTCCTACAAATGGATAAGACTTAATCTTTTCTGAAGCTGTGGACATTACTTTGAATGCAAGACTTCTATAAATATAGATTGCAATTATACAAATTATTTTCAACTGGATTTTTAATTTTAATATGAGAGATCCAGATTTTTTCATTATTTGATAACGTTTTGTGTTTAAAACTTAAGACGGGATTTTGTGCGTGAGGATGCTCTAAGATTAAATAAGTTTTCTGATCATTCATAATATAAAATAAATTATTTAATTATGTCTAACAACGTATTCGATGCAGACTTTAGTTTATCAAGGAAATTTAAAATTCGACTTAAAGCTAATGGATAAGTGTCTCATTCATTCAATCAATCAAAAAAGAATTTTAAATAAGCTACTTCATTTTCTATTCCAATTCTATAAGAAATAATTGATGGTGAAAAAAAACCTTAAACTAAATTAAATTATTCATTCTAAGGCAGATAAGAGGTACTTAATAGAAAAATATAAGAGCTCAACATCTACATTTTATTATAATTATAATAAAAACTTAGATTTTGAACTTAATTTTAGTAATTATGGAGAAAAATTAAAATTTTATATTCATAATTCATTTCAAATTAAGTAAAATGATCTTTCTTTATGTAAATATTTATAATTAAAATGTAGCTTCAAGAATAAACAATCACAGTTATCATTTTTAATCAAAAATTTCAAGAAAAATAGATAATTCATCATTTAATATTTCAGCAGATGGAGAATTTGATTTTATAAAACTCTCATTAAAATTTTCATCGCTCCACTTTAATTATAAATTCAATGATAAAAAATAAATAATATAATTTAGGAGTCAATTGTTAAAAGGAAGAAATTGTGAACTAGAATTATTAAAAATTATAAATCAAAGTATGAGTACAGGTCTTTAGATTTCACTTGACTCTCATAAAAAATTTCATAGTCTGATAGGTTTATAAAAACATTTCAAAAATGTATAATTTTTTAGTGTTTATAATTTTAACAAAAAAAACCTTTCAATTAGTTTAATTTAGAAATATAACAAAATGTAATTATTTTGGAGATATTAGGTTAGAATATCGAATATCAACAGTAGTACCTTTTAGTACAAAAGATCATCCATTTGGTTTTGCTATTAAATTAAATATATGAAAGATGAGGTAACTTTAATTGAATAAACATAAAAATACGAAAAACATGTAAATTAAAAATAAATAATCAAGAAATATTTTATTATTATCTATTTTAATTTAAATTGTGATGTCAGATAATCTTTAGGTGAAATAAAGAAGAAGAAATTCACCTTAAGAAGGTGAATAGGACATTGTTTAAAGATAGGAAAATAAATATAATAAAATTCAAAGGTATTTAATCATGAGTAAAAAGAAATGATTTGTAAGCATATGTTTAATAGCCAAAAATCAAACGTATTAGAGATGATTAAATTGAGGATCCATAAGAAGAAGATGATGACAAATAATCTGATAAATTTGGAGGGTTTGTTTTTACAAAAACAAAAAGTAAGTTTATACTATTATTTAAAATAGACGAAACAAAAAAGTAATATATATATGAGCCTAAAAAATAATAGCCAGTTTAGTAATAGAAGAAAGAATATTATCAAAAAAAAGAATAGGCACCAAAGAAAAAGCCTGAAAAGAAAGGTAATAAGTAATAGTAGTAGTAATAATCATCATAACAGTACAAATTTAATATAAAAATTAGAAAGGAAATATCTATCCAATAATTAGGTGAGTTAGAAAAACTACAATAACATCTAATAAATTGTGGTATTTCAATAACAAAGAATTAAGAGAACTATGATTCAGAATTAGTTTTGCCTCCTGATTTTAATAAGCCATTATCTATTCCAAGTTAACCAATAGTAGCACCACCTCCAGGATTAGTAGATAAAGATAAATCTTCTGATTTTGTGGATATTTTAAATTAATTGTAAGATAATGATTCAGATGGTTAAATGAATTATGATTAGCATTTTTCTTCTTCAGTTTTAACAAGAGGGACATTTCCAATTTAAACTTAATAATAAAATTAATTTAATAATTAAAAAGCAATTCCTACAAATAATCAAAATTTTACAAATAATTAAACAGATTAAAAAAATAAAGAAAAAAAGAAGAAAAATAAAAAGAAGAAACCAAAAAATAATAAAAATTAATAGGAAGTAGCTATGATGAATAATTAACCTGATTTTATGAATTCAAATTCTGCTGAACTTTTTGATCCTTTTAAAATTGCACCATTTTCATTTCCTTAATAATAATAAATGGGTCGAAATAATTTACCAGATCCTCTTAATATTTCAGGTCCAACATTTACAACTCCGTTAGGATTTCCACCTCCTGGTATGATGGGTTTGGGCCCATAAATTACTCCATTTAATTCAAATCTTTTAGGAGCTCCATAATCTTTAGGATTTCCTCCTGGACCTACTTTAGGTATGGAACCTTTGGATCCTACTTTTTAAATGGGACCTAATATAGGATCTATGAGAATGAACTAAATGATGCCTCCTAAATTTAATTAAATGCCAAATATGACTTAAATGCATATGCCAATGCCTATGCCTATGACAATGGCTCCTCCTCCTTAAATTAAAAAGTAATCTCATAAAAATCATATGATGATGTAACCTCCTACTTAATTTGATGGATAAGTTTTTTGTCCTCCTATGATGCCTCCACCTATGGGAAATTAATTTACAGATTTCCCTCCAAATATACCTTTAGGATAATAATTCCCTCCCAATTTAATGAATTCTGGACCTATACTAGGAGTGCCTCCTATGATGTAATTTGATGATGAATTTGATCATAATTGGATGCCAAATGATGGAATGTTAAAAATGCCAACACCAATTTAAGTTTTCTCCAATCAAAATTTCCCTAATCTATCCTAAGTTTAACATCCTGATTCATATATGTAAGAACCTGAAAAATTTATTCCTTAAAATAAAAATGGAAATGATTTTAATAGTGATCAAATCAATTAATTAGCTTAAAATAATGATGGATAACAAAAATAAAGAAAGTAACTCTTCATCTATTTTATTTTAGAAAATTAAATTTAAATTCTAAACCATTTTATCCAGTAAATCCTTGATTGTAACAATCCCTGTTGTTTTATAAATATATATTAATATTAATATTGTTAAAAACTATTTAATTAAAAATATATAAATATAAAAATTATAAAAGAATCCATCATAATTTTAATAATTTTTATTATTCATAAAAATTTTAGTATTATTATTCATGAAAAAAAATCAATCAAATTGTAGAAGATTAATTAGTACAGCAAATTATTGAATATTAAATAAATAGCACAAAAATAAATTAAATCAATTTCATTGTTCATAAATTAAATTAAGAAAAACGATTTAGTGACTAAAAATTAATCTTCTAAGTCCTACAATTAATTAATAATTATTAACAGACGAAGATTAATTATTATTCTCCTCAATATTTTCTTAAACAAAAAATTTATGTAAAGGATAAAAGTATTTATTATTATTAAATAACATTTACTAATAATGATTTCAAAATGCAATTTTATTTAAGTTTAAGAGTATAACTTTAAGTTAGGTGAATTGATAAGCTAAAGTAAAATTTGAGCATTTTAGTCAAAACTAGTTGTTCTTTTTCATATATTTCTAAAACAAATAATTTGCAAACCAATATAACTTTATCAGTTTTAAAAGTTTTATTTTCAAAAATTTGTTATGGATTTCTTTTTAGCAATTCATGAATTTATTTATCAGAATAGGCTTTAAAAATAGTTTAACTATTCGATGAATTTATATTCCTTCTGTATATCTTTATTTTTCATTTTCCTAAATTAATTATTATAGATTATTTTTTATATGTGTAGGAGTTATTACTTCTCTTAAGAAATTCTTTTTGAGGTTTATCTTGTTATTTTTCGTTTTCTTTATCCTTAATTTCTTGAGTTTTTTATTAACAATAATTCACTCAAATTAATGAATTAATCTAATTATTGTTCTAATGAGTTTTTGAGCTTTGATGTTAAACTCAAAATCCAAGCTGTATCTAATAATATTAGTAACGTTCGGACTCTACTCTTTTTGTTCGCATTGTTGATATAAATTCTAAAAATAGTTCCAATAAAAAGATAAAACTCATTTTCTGACTCTTTTTCAATGGAATTTTAACTTCATTCTTCCATTTGATAAGGTTCTCAATAATTTAAAATAGAAAATTATCCATAAAATAATTAATATATTAAATTGAAATATTTTATGTCTCATTTATTCCTAAATGATTTTTTTCTAACTTCCAATAATTTATCTAATTTTTTGTAAATTTCAAAAAACTAATTATTAAATTTAGCCTAGGTTCTTTTATCATTACTTTATTGTGGAAAAAAGCATAGTTATTGAAAATTACAAACCGAATTCTTGTATATGAAATAAAATTTATATTATTTTAAATCTAAATACCACTTTTTAATTGACTTTAATTTAATAGTTTTTTCTGATTTCTTATGATTATCGAACATTTCTACAATATAATTTTTTATACACTAGAACAAAGAAGTATGAGAAAATTAGTTATTTTATTGATTTACTTTGATGATTTGTATGTCAAAATAATCAATGCCCAGTATTACTTAAAATTATTATTTCTTTTTTTATTGCATTAGTTGAAATTCTTGATAAGAATATATTTAAGACAAATAATGTTTTGATTCAATTTTAAATGCTGAATCTTGTGGATTATAAGACAATAAACCTTCCTCTAAATAATTTTATTATTTGAAATTAGAAAATTTATTACTAATATCAATGAGATTAGATTATTAAGATTCAATAATATACTTTTTTTCTAAAACTAACCAATGTATTGGCAATTCATTAATTGGAGTATTTAACGATAATGGAAGAATATCAGTATGAATACAAGGGTACTTTAGTCTTAAATAATAATCTTATAAAGATCTTTTATAAATGGGACCATTGTTAAGTGAGTCAAAAACATTTTATAATGTTGATGTATTTAAACATCTTATTTATTAATTTGACTAAGATTGTGCATCTTCAATCAATAGGATAATATATTAAGGAAATAATTCATAAGTTTTTTTTAGAGTTAATAAATCTATACCGAACGTAATTTAACATGAAGAATTAACAACAATTTCTACTTATTTACAACTTAAAACAGCTGGATAATCAATAGTAATTGTTTTATCTTCAATATCTTCAAAAGAATACTCAACCTTGGATGAAATGGCTCTCTTTTAAATTATTATTTTTATAATACTTCATTGCAGCTGGCTCTTCTAGCAGCAATATTATCCTCATCTTTTTCAACAAAGCTTTTAGTTCTTTAAAGAGGTTTTCTGAAACGATCTTCATCAATTTCCATTTGATCTTCAAGAGTTTCTAATTAATAAGCAAGACTATAGTTTTTATATTCATATAAATTTTAATCAAACCTTCTTTCTAGACTATATTCTTTTAATGCTAGTACAATAAATTCAATAGCTGTCATGTCTTTTTCAATAAATAAAACTTTTGAAAGATTTGTTTTAAAGTATTTAACTTAAATTGTCCGAAGATGTTATTTTCCAATTTGGCCTATATTTTGTGTAATAATTGATTTTTATTTTCTTATTTGTTCAAAATTATTTACAATGACCTAATTAGGTCGCTTTACAAATAGTTTGATTCCTTATTATTTTTGAAATTGACCAAAATTTTTTTAAAAAGCAGTTTGACTTCTCTTCATAGATCTCTTTAATTATTAAGCTAACTATTGTTTTTATTAAATTTACTGATCTGCTTATTTGATTTTTGCTTGATCAGGTTAAAGATCATTTGATTTTAATGAACTTTATTAAGACTCCTAAATGGATGCTCTTCTTTCAAGTAATTATGTTTTAATTTATTTTTATTTTGAGAATTCAATTTCTTCTTCAGAATCTTCAAAATTAATAAATAAGAGAGTTTCAGTTTAAAGAAATTAAAATTATTCCAATATTTCCATTTTAGATTGAGGTGTTGAATGTTTACTTTAGCTAAGGGTATCTTGAATTTGAAATTGATAATTTTCCATAAAATTTAATTGCTTTTTATTATTTAATTAGAAACTTAACAAAAATGGATAATTTGTAATAATTATTACAAGAACTTTTCTGTCTTTTGGATTAAAATTTTTTTCTTTCCAGAGAATTTAAAAAATTATTTTCAACCTATGATAATTTAGAATAAATAGCTTAGGAGAAAAAATATAAAGAGTTAGCATAAAAATTGATTGAATTTATCTTATCTATTCATAAAATAAATTAACCATCAGTTTTAGAAGAGAAAATTGCAAAAACGCATAAGTTACTTAACAATTATCAATCTTTATTGATCATTTAATAATAGAAAGAAATACCTTAAATAATTTAGAATGAAAAATAACTTTCATGTGATATTTCAAAGAGTAATCCAAATACAGCAAGAGAATTATAAGGAAAGGTTCGTAAAACGACAAGAAATTAACAAATAATCGATAAGCAGCAACTTTCATAATAATTTAGCAATTAAAAAAAATAAAAAGGAATGCAAAATAGTGATTCTTAATAGAAACTTTTTATAGAGAATATACCTAAAATGGGAAGATCTTTAGTGAAAGATGATTAATAACGAAATTATAATATAATAACAGGAGTTTGAATGGAATGTTAAATATATGTTATTATTATTTTTTTACATTTCATAATGTGATTGTTTTTCCATCTGTAATAATACCCCAACCAATCAATCTAAATTTATTATTTAATCTTCTACTGAATGCAACTTTCTCTTACAAACCAGTACATACTGGGTTATTGAGAGCAACTCTCATAATTTTCTAAGATAGATTAAGAATATTTTTACATCATCCTTAACCATCATAACTCTACCTGGTGTTTCATTGGATAATACATTAAATTTCAACATTTCGTCTTATTAAATTTTAGCAATCTTTTAAGTTTTACCATCTTATTATTGTGCACCAACTACAGAGACCATTAAATAATAATTGATCTAAATAAATGATAACTAAAAACACGTACTTCTAATTCTCTATAGAGTTCAGGTAATTATTTAGGAAGTCCTAAAACACATCCTACAAGATTATCATTACGAGTAAGAGATGGATCAATTAATAATCCAACTCCAATAAGACCACCTGGAACAGCATATATTAATTCATTTTATTCAGCATAGAGTGAAACAACTCTAGTGGTAATTGGATGCCAGGTTGTTTGATTTCCATTTTTTGATTATCTTCCAGGTCTAATTTCAACTTCATCTCCAACTGAAAGTATTCCCTATAGAATTGAACCTCCAACTACGCCTCCTTATAGATTTTCAGGTTTTTCACCAGGTTTGTTCACATCAAAAGATCTATTAAAATAATTAATGATTTATATAGATT